CAGCCATAAATATTAGGATAGTATCATCGAGCAGGGACTTCTCCTTGAGTGTCACCAGCCAATCGTGCACATCGTCGTCGGCAGCGCCGATGAGATTAATAGAATCGTGAGAGAGACCACCATGAAAGCTGAACACAAAGCGCGGAGAGTCACGATACTTTAGCATAAACTGTAAAACGAAAACGCCCCTTTAAGTGAATTATAATTGCATGAAGTTATATCTAAGAGACTCACATTTTTTGTATAGTCCAGCATGACTAGATGATCTGGCTGGGCACCAATACAGTTGGGCGCACTGCCACTCAGCATGTTCGAAGCTTGCATATAATATGTGCGCAAATAGTGATCCACGGGCTGGGATTCGAAGCCGTTCATGCGATATGTGAACGTGCCCACATATGGCAAGTCCTCATTGAATGAGGTCAAGTAGCCGAGTCGCCTAAAATCTTGCCAAATCATCGGATATGCATCAACACTTCCTGAGCTGGAGATCCGTTTTCTTGTTTCCGGCAGCTCTAGCTCCGTGTAACCCGTGAGCAGAGGCACCAACGCTTGTGGAGTGCCATCGCCAACAATATTATAGCCTTGCAGTACAATGGCGCCCAGCTGCTGAGTTAAATAGGCATAGGTGCGCGGTAGCTTACGAATGAATGCGTTCCGGCTCAGGGAATCAAAACCAAACATCAATACATTGTAAAAAGGACTCGTCGGCACCTCCTGCAGCTGCGGTTGTTGTTGTGAATTGGCAATAACAATTTCGGCAGGTAATACAGCCACATTAGGTACTACGGGTCGTTGCACAGTGTCCCGTATTCCAAATGCCATGCCAAACCACTTCTCACCGCTGGACGCATGACAGGCAACACGAACAAAATCGCTATTCTGCAGTACATAGGGCTCCTTGATTCTATTTGTCCGTCCAAAGCGCGCAGTGTAGTCCGTTTTGCGTATAATATCCGTATACGAGCATGTTATATCGCCATGCACTGCCGTTATCTCGGGTTTCACAAAGCATATCGATTTCTACGGAATAATCGAAATTTTAAACATACACCAATTACAAATTCGATATAGTCAATCAGTAATTTTTTAAATACAAATCATTTAAAACAATTTCGGACTTTCATTGTAGATGATAGCATGCAAAAGTCTCGAGGAGAAAATATCAACAATGCAAATATATACTCAAGTGCAATCAGTATTTACCTCACACATAACCCAATCCGGGCTTGTCCCGCAGTTTATTTTATCAATCGGCTTGTAGAATTTCATTATGTCGGGATTATCCAGTGGCAAATGGGGTTGGCGACATTCCCCCTGATTCATGACAGACCGTATCGATCGCTCAATTATTTGACTGCAATGTTTCGCAAAGTTGAATAAACAACAAACGTAAATAAAGTGGAAGATATATGTTTTTTCTGTATACATATGCATACATATGTATATTCATATACTTACATTTTAATGCTTTTGTCTACATCCTCCGGCTCAGAGTTAAGTAACAGAAATGTGACGAACGTGACTAATATTGTGCAAATTAGCACCAGCTTAACTACACCGCGACGTACAAAGCGCATTTTGATAATAGCAAAAGAAATTAATTATTTTAAAAGAATTCGATAAGTATATTGCTCGGCAATATGCTGTATATAGCTACATCCTAAACTGGCACAGTTCGCTGATCGAAGCACTTTTAAGTGCAGATATGTCAAAGATTGTCTGCTGCATCAGTATTAATTGCTTTTTACTTTTTGCATTTTCTCCCAAGCCGAATTTTTGTTTAACCCCGCGTTATGGTGCCGAGCTGTCACACGATATCAAAAACTGTGAGACCAGATGGCTGAATTGATTTTTTATTTTCTTAGTATTTTTAAATGCGTTCCATTTTAATAACGTAGTTTTATATCTTATTGTTAGGTCTGGCAGCGCTTTTATTCAAAATATCAAAATTTTATTCTAATAATAAAAATTAGGTATAGTTATGTTATGTAAAAGCATTATAATTGAAATTAGAAAAATAACATTTTGTAAATAATTATATGCTTACTTTTAACCAAATTATAATTATTATTTCAGTTTAAACTTCAAACTTCAATACTTCATTAGACTTAACCATTACAGTAATATCTCAACAGTATAGATTATTTTCCTAAGCCCTTACGTATTTTTTGAACAAGTTATCAAGTATTGAACAACAATGACTATAAAGTAAATAGTGCCTATCACAATAAAATAAAATGCATAGACAGTGAACTGTTCAAACGTGTTCAACTGGAGATTCGCACTCTCAGAGACGACGATAAGAGTAAGTATAGTTTGTAATAAAAGTGCAATAAGTGTGTTAATGCCAAAAATCAAAGCGAAACTATCCTCAACCAAACTTTTGGCCAGCTCGGCGCTGCAATATGTGAACAAATTTACTTTTAACAAATAAAATGTTATCTCAACTTACCTGGCCACCGTTATAATAAATCCAAATACTCCCCCAAATAGCACATAACCCAGATATGATAAGTATATATTTGAGGTCCAGGATGCTAGTAATATGCAGCCACCTTCCAGAATCGCTAGCACAGCTACCGATAAAAGGCTGGCACGAGTTTTTAAACGTCCCGCGTGCAAATATCCCGCCATTAGAGAGAAGAGGGCAGCTAGTGCAGTTAGGGCGGCATCCACGCCCCCATTCCATACAATCTAAGAAACTATGAGTAATAACAAAAACAATTTGTTTGTTATTTTACTTACCTTTGGCTCGTTTTCAAATGATTTCCAAAGAACTTGTATGTAGGTTGCGACTTGTAAATTGCCAGCCAAACTAACCGCATACCACAAGCTCCACTGGAGGACCATGCCATTTGTGTATGCAATGTGGAAGTGCGCCCACAATAGTTGCAATGGTTTAGCATGGTCCTTTTTGGCAACGGAGATCTCATTAAATTGCTCATTGGAAACACCTTGAGGCTGTTCAGACGCATCATCCTTATCAACGGGTCCACTGACTGCCACTTGTTGATGGAAATACAAGCTCTGCTCCACTTTGGGCAATAAGACAGTCCATAGGAGGGCGAAGACTTGGGCTGTGTGATACAACATGATATGATCGTATTTTTAAATATATGTATACTTGAGTCATACTAACAGCCTACAGATATGTACATCAACTGCTGGTAGTTCATCCAATCAAAACCGATGAGCAACTGGGCAATTAGTCCGGCCACAAGTTTTCCCACAAACATGGCCGCTCGTGTATGGGATGTAACACGAGGATAATACTTTTTATCGACCTTCGCATATATATAGGAATAATATGCCACTTCAGTGGCCTGATAGAAACCATAGAATACTTCACTGATCTGTAGACCAAACAGTGTGCTCGTAGTAAGCAGCATAGTCCAAATAATAATCCCAGTCAGAGCGTTGGCAATAATCATGGGCTTGTATCTATGTATAGGGTATTTGAATTGAAAATGTATGTGTGTATGAGTATGTGAGTGCATATTACCTAAGATAATCGGTGACCAGAAAAACAACAATCAGCAGAGCTAAATAGGAATAGGTCCCAATGGGGTAGACACTCCGATTCACCTGATCCTGTGTCACATTATACCACTCGCCCAGTAAAATTTCCGAGTGGTAGGGCTCCGAGGGGCGCAGCTCGCGTAAAAATCCGAACACACAAAGCACTCCAGATATTCTCAGCCAAGAATGCTCCATGGCTAGCGCGAGTGCCTGCTCAACACAATCTAATCAACGAGTTGGTCAAACTCGACTAACGAGCTGCAACTTGAGTAATCGGACGTAGCATACAAATAATTAAAATAATTACACATTTTTTTATAGGGTTATAAGTGAAGCAACACAACCACATAGGTGTCTATACACCTAACTATATATATTTATTGTAATCAGCGCTGTAGTCCACAGACGAACGTTCCAGACGGGAAATGCGAAATTTTTCCCTAATCACGGGTACAATCTTTAGAATACAGCTGCAGCTAACTAGTTGAAAAATTCACACAGTAAAAAAATCTATGCATTCGTTATAAATAAGTTTAAACCGCGTTTAAGATTACCGTGCAGGCAATTTTATAAGTTTCAATTATTTAATACAACAATGGTAGGGGGGCTTTTAACAGTGATTATAAAACATGAGTGTTCCAGTCTGAATATCACGAATACACGAATACAATAATACACTATTCGAGCTGCTTAAAATAATTTTACTTATGCATGAATATCTATCTATTAATGTATATATGGATGTAATATTGATATTGAGGTCCTGGAATTAATGGATACGGTATATATTCTGAACTACTTGAGCAAGCCTGATCTTTGTATCTCAAAAGGCAACATAAATGTAAAATTGCATATCTTTAGCTCTCATAGATTTAATATATCCAGATATGTATATCTTATTAAGTTGTGGGGTTTTGGTGTAAAATCGCGGTTTTCAATGAATGTTTCTACGTAGCATACTCATCATACCTCGAATTCCTCAGTATAATACGCTAAGGGTATAATAAGATAATACGAGGCGAAAGGTTAATTGCTATTGTTAGTAAGGGAGTTAAGTAGTAAAGGATGTAAACACATAAGTCGTAAAGTTTATTATATTCTTTCATTGTTCAGTGAAACAGCTATTAAGTAGACAAAACTGTTTTGTATTGCAATCATAAAATATTTATTATATTCCTTTGTCTATTTGTTATATTCAAGCTTTAAAAAATATCAGGTTTAAAAATATTGTGATAAATAAAGTAGGGCTTTCAACCCATCTTTAATCAAAAATATAAACTTCAATTGAAACAAAAAATATATTTATATATTTTACTATTCAATCTCTTAGTTAAGAAGCGTCAAAAAGCTTTCTTCCGCTTCACTTCGGTTCCATTATCATATTACACCCAAGATCCATTGATATTGGTAAATGATTTGATATAATAAATGTAAATATTTCTTTAAAAAACATTCTCATGAGCAAAAACACAATACATAAACCAATTCCAAAAGTATTTTAAGTACTTAATTTATTTTTGTAATTTATATAAACATTTTTAGTACTATGTACAACTAATTGATATCAGTAAATTGAAGTACAATTGGCTGCAACGAAATGGTAAACTACAAATATATTTATCTAAAAGAAAATACACTTTTTTTTAACTTTCAACGATTTTTCAAATAATTAATTTTAAAAACCTAAGAGCATTTCAATGAATAACTGGAATTTATAAGGGAAAATACTATGGTACATTATAAAAAGAAAATAAGAAATAGTATTTACCATGAAATTTCTAATATCATGTTATTGAAGGAATGCTAAAAGGGCTAATTTGTTTAAATAAAATATTTAAGGGCAATCTAAAAGACCTATTCTAAAGATTCACTTTTGGCGTGGACCTGTTTTGATCCGCGTTGCCATAGATGCTCAACCAAGACGGAGATAAAGTATATGAGGGCCACAGCTATGAAATAGAAAGCATAGACGGCATATTGGTCCACGGGGCTGAGCTCAAAGCCCGTCTCGGAGACGACAATAATGGTGAGCAGTGATTGGAAGACCAACGCCAGCAACGTATTAATACCAAAGACCAGGCCAAAGCTCTCCTCCTGCAGATTGCGAGCCACCTCCGCACTGTAGGAATAAATTTCAATTCATTAAAATCATAAGAATTTTAGATCGATGTAGACGCACCTGGCCACAGTGATGGTGAAGCCGTAGAGAGCACCAAAGATGACAAAACCCACATAGGACCAATAGATGTCGTTAGTCCAGCAGCAGATTAGAACGCTGCCGCCCTCCAGCGCCGATAGCACTGATAGCACTAGTAAAGTGGTCTTTGGCCTCAATCGACCGCTGTGCAAGTATCCAGCTGCCAGAGCACTTAATGCTGCCAAAGCAGTCAGCACAGCATCCACGGCACCGTTCCATGCAATCTGCGGCTCGGGCTCGATAACCTTCCATAGCACCTGCATATAGTAGGTAACCTGCAGATAGCCAGCCAAGCCAATGGCGTACCAGAGACTCCACTGTATCACACGCGGATTTGTGTAGGCATTGTGAAAGTGCTGCCACAGCAGTTGCATGGGACCAGATTCCACCTCCGGTTCCAGCTGCAACTGGTTTGCTGATGGTGGCGCTGTCGACGACTCCTCTAAGGCCTCGCGATGGAAATAAAGACTCTTATCAACTTTTGGCAGTCCGAAAGCCCAGAGCATAGCCAATATTTGCGCTGTATTTCAAAATCGATATCCCTTAATTATTTTTTCTTATTTCATCTTTAAATACCCTTACTGGCCAGCGTTATGTAGTTGAGTTGTCTGTAGTTCATCAGCTCCAGATTGATCATCAGCTGCGATGTTATCCCTGAGATCAGCTTGCCAGCGAACATCGCTGCACGCGTGTGGGAGGTGACACGTGGATAATACTTTTTGTCCACCTTGGCATAGATGTACGTATAATAGGCCACCTCGGCGGCCATATACGTGCCATAGAAGAACTCCAATATTTGCAATGATAGCAAGCTGGTTGTCCATATGAGCATGCTCCATATTATTACGCCAGCTGCACCTATAGTAATTATCAACGGTTTATAGCTGCAAGGTAGAGGAAATATAAAACGTGAAGAATTGGAATTGTGAAATTGTGAATAATATAAATATTTTAAACATTATTGCATTGTTTATGGCTTGTAATCAAAACTGGATTTATATTGATTTCATATATACTCTGTATATAGCAAAAAGTGCATGCACTTGTTGATCGTATACTTAAAAACTTACCGTAAAAAGTCAGTTATTAGGAACACAAAAACCAATTGAACCAGATGCGAATATGTGCCCACCGGATAAACATCTTGAATAAGCTGTGAATTAGGAACATTATTGCTGTATAATCAATTCGAAATTGATTAAGCGAAAAGCCCACCTGTTGCTCCGTTATGTTGCGCCACGGACCGAGAAGATATTCCGTTACGTACGGCTCCGAGGGTCGAATTTCTCGTACAAAACCAAATACGCAAAGCAAGCAGGAGATTTTTAGCCATTCCTTCATATCTTTATTGTTCGACGTAACGTAACGTAATGCGCAGCAATTTAACGGTCAGGCAATACGTAAGTATTATGCGGTAGTGTATTTATATTTGAATCATTCACAGCTCGCAACGTTTGATTTCACGGAGTTTGGAGTGTGTATTTTTTTCATGCTTTTTACAGTTGTTTAATTTTAGAATCTCGAAGTGCGCTTCTTGGAACTGACGACCTGCAGACAAGGCGGTAGTCGTTTAATCTAATCGTTGAATTGGTTTATTAAGATGGCATTATCTCGCATTAATGCTAGCACACTGATTGTTTTCTTTTTTTTCTTTATTGTAGTATGATTGTTAGATAATTGCAAATTTATAAGTTACAAAACGCAGCGTACGTTGTGTTCACATTGACGTTCCGCGACCAATTTGCCGGCTTTCGATACGAGAGTAAGCAACATTTTGAATGTCAGCGAAACAAACACACAAATAAGAGCATATACATATGTATGTATGTATATACATAAGTGAGTGTACACAGTTGGTCAGCCTGAATCCGGGATACCCTACATCCGTTGCAGCCGCTGCACGTACAATAAATACACACAGTAAAATCAGAATGTTATCGACGCCACTGGTTGATTTAATTGATTTATAGACAACAGCAATATCGCAATTCGTTCCAATTTATTTCGGCTTGTTGTTGTCCGCAGAGAATTTATTTGGATTTCATATAGTTGACGATTGTTACATTAGAAATGAATATGCACGTGCAAGAGACAGCTGTGCGCAGTATTTGGTTGGCAACGCGATGTGAAAAACAGCTGTTCGCACCTCATCTGGCTCAAACAAGATAACCAATTCCAACTGCGACAATAACAACGGTAAATTATGCACAGTTTTGTTTGTATATTGTAAAAAATACACGTTTATTAGCGCGCAAATTTTAAAAGTATTTATATGTATCTGTGTGTGTGTAAGTGTTACAAAGTATTTATATGTGAAAATGTATAACAAAGTAAAAGAGAAACATTTAGCTATTTACACAAACAGACGGGAATATGTTATTCATAACTTTGCTTCATGTAAATAATTCATATAAACAGCTGCCCATTTATCAATACAATACAATATATCAATGAATTATACTAAGAATTATTGGCCACATTTACGGAAAGTTAGAAAATACGTGTAAAAACTCTTAACAGCAACATTGAGGTTAGACTCTTTCGCACTTGTTTCGCATTCGTTGATTGTTCCATTCCACTCGTTCCTTCTAGTCACTTTCATTCTCATTGTTGCGCAATGGGTGTACCCTGGGGGCTCAAGGCTTGCGCCGTCGTCGCCGTCAACGTGTTTGGCTCTGATTGGACAAACTCAATGGACGCCGAATTGATGCAGTAACGCTTGCGTGTGGGCTTTGGTCCATCCTCGAAAACGTGTCCCATGTGTGCATTGCAACGGGCGCATCGTACTTCGGTGCGTATACGTTCTGGATGTGCAATTAGTAGTAAAATATTGCCCCCTTTTTAATTTGTATTTTGCAAATGTGAGATTAATTGGGTACGTTCATTCATTTTTTTGTTTTTGTTTTTGTTTTTGCATAGATCGGGTTACGTTCCCATTGTTGTTTGTTTGTTTTTACAATAATTGATAATTGCATTTCATTGAATTTGTTCAGTTTGTTAAATTTGGTTTATAACAAAATTGAAAAGAATACAAAATTAATTGGAAAATAGGAGATATGAAAAGCAGAGAGACAGTGAATGAGAGGCCGGTTCAGTGAGAGTGAAAGGCGTCGATTCAAGCGATAAGAGCAATAGAAACAGAAAAAGTAACGGCGAAAGTATAATTGTGCGAAAGAGACAGCGAGACAAATGAGCACAGATGACAATTTAGATTTGCGAGTGCATCAAAAGAGACGATAAGCGAAGGTAGGTAGTCGAGAGAAAATAACAGTGGACGGCGTCGATTGAAATATGAAGTGTAGCGTAAAAGTAAATACAAATCAAATTAAATGTGTTGGTTATTATTACGAATGATTTAGTGTGTTTAAATTGATTGTTAATAAGCCATTTTATGCGTCAGGTGTAATGCATTGTAGATTAACAATGATTTTAAGGGAATGTGTGATCGTGTGTGTATGTTTTGTTAGCAAAACAGACCCCCAAAGAACGTTTACAGGCGGAACATTAAGTTTTAATATTGTTTTTTGTTTTGTTTGTTTTGTTTTTGTTTTTCGAAGCGAGTTAAAAAAAGAGAAATAGAAAATATACGAAAAATACACATTATTCAATTTGTTGGATATATATGGATCGTCTACAATAGTCTTGCAGTGTATTACATCAAATATAAATATAATATGAGTAAAAATAGCAACAAAAAATAATAAAAATATCAAAGAAAGCCAAATCAAATATGTTACAGATGAACCAAGAGAAACCAAGCAATGCGACCAGATCTTCCAACCAACTTTGATGCATAGATACATCCATATGTACATATAATCAAAATATATAAATATATACATGTAGGTAAAATACTCCTAGCCCAACAACATGTTTGATTAATGTGAGAAAACTAAAAACTATAATAATTAATGGAAAAAGCTTGTGCGTGCTTTAGGTTTACGATGAATGGAACGTTTGAAAACTCGAGATCTTTTTATAATTATTGAAGCCGCAATCAAAAATGGATGAACGAAATAACAAGATAAAAGAAAAATGGTTCCTTTAATATAAATTGAATTCCCCTCGTAAATACTTTTCATATTACACACTATGAGTGTAGTCGGCGCTGTATCATGAGTATTTCTGTTTTTGTTTGCATACATGTAAATAAAGTCCTATAACATTTTTATTATAAATATATGTACTATATGTACTTAACATAAAACATTTCTCTTTCTGTATGGATCTCACTTGGTTCTCATCATCATCATCATCAACATCATTATGAATAATTGATAACCCATTATTTTTTGGACGATGTCGTCGTCGCTGCTGCAGTTGAACTTTTCACAAAATCAATCGAGGCCGAGTTGATGCAGAAGCGTCGATGCTTCGGTGGAGGTCCATCATCAAACACATGACCCATATGGGCCGAGCACTTGGAGCAGCGCACCTCGGTGCGAACCATCCCTAACGTTTTTGAAATGACTACTGTTGTTTTAATCATATTATATTATGTTAGTTTTTGCAATTGTTTTCAATGTCAATTTCATAATTTGAGAAAGTTTCGGTTTTGGTTAGCAAAAAAGATGGTGGATAAAAGAATATAATACTCAATTAGGTAAGAATTAGTTAATGCTATTCAAAATTTGGATATAGTTGCACATTCATCCAACAGGACAGAATCACAAGTAACGGCACAAACAGTTTGACACTTAAGCAGCTCAACACTACAGTGAACACATGGATATAACACACGCATATATGTATGTAGATGTATATGTATGTAAATTGTAACATTCTAGCAGTCTAAACATATTGATTTTTTTTTTTTTTTTCAGGAACAACAATAAACGTAACAGATTTTAATTTTTGGGTTTTAACATACATTTCGATTTCGGCGTCTCTAACTATATACACTTTTTTTCTATATATGGCATACTCTTTTGTAAATATTTTATTTGTTGGGTGCTCAACTTGAACTCAATTAAAAATTGTTTGCAGTCAAAGTTTTTGTTGCGAAGCGACAAACAAATCAAATAAAATAAAAACTGTACAAAATAAAAATCAAATGCAAAACATTGAAAAGTGCTGAACGTATCTAAGCTAAATAGAAATCGAAATCGCTAATGCACTATATGTTGATATATAGCGCACATACCTGGTATACTGGCATCGCGATGCAATGTGACTTTGCCCTTATCGAGCACATCATTGAAAGCTGGCCAGCCGCAGCCCGAATCGTACTTGGTATCCGAGCTAAACAGATCCTGATGACAGACAATGCATCGATATACGCCCTTCTCGTAGTGTTTGTTATAACAGCCTTGAAAATACAGAAAGACATAGTTTAGAGCCAGGTTTATGTAATTAGTGTCAAGTTTATTCAAGCACACCTGTGAAGGGGCGCTCAGTGCCCGCCTCTTGTGTAACCTGATACTGCAGCGGCGTTAGACGTTTCCGCAGCTCCTCCTTGTTTACGGTAATCTTTTCACTTTTATTCTCCATGTTTGCTTGAAATGCGTTGGAATTTGTGTTCTTGTTGTTGGCGTTGCCGTTGCCCTCGCCGTTGTTGTCGCTGCTTTGACGTGAATCTGCAATTTAAGTCGAATCCGTATATTTAAGCTTGCGGTTAACGTTTTTTCTTTCGCAACAATTGAGCAATTTGTATCAGTTTACCATGACAATGTATGTATGTACAGTAAGTAGCTCCAAGTGTTGTTGCCCTAGCAAATTTAATACTTTTTTAATAATAATAATAATTTAAAATACTTAAGTGAAAAAAAAATATTTGCTCAACTACCAATTTTTAGTTTGAGAAAGTGGATAATAATAATAATTTAAAATTCTTAAGTGAAAAAAAATATTTGCTCAACTACCAATTTTTAGTTTGAGAAAGTGGATTTAGATAAGCAGTAATCATGGAGTATTGTACTCCCTCGTTCTTTAGCACTTGCATCATATACATCTCATATACATACATACATCGTCATATTCAAATCTATCTTATGATCTTTTGTGCGATTGTTCCCTATTCTTTTTCTTTCGCTCTTCAGCTTTGATACTCTTACTCCTTCACTCTTTATAAGATTATAATTGTGTTCTTTTGAAAATCAAGTAAATAGCGATTATTTTACTAGCCCTCACTAACTTATCAGTAGATTCGACGACAAAACCTTACAGTGGATCATAAATTATAAAACATAGACTTCGCCGGGCAAATGATAAGAAAGTTAATTACCCCCTATCAGCAATGATATGCATGAAATAGTTGTGGAAAAATAACTTGAAGCTCATAAAAATAAAGCAATGTTGCTGCAAACCAAAGCCAATCGCGCAATTTGTATACACAATGTTTGCATTAACAAGATGTAAACAAAATGCCCGCGACTATAGGCCGTTATATAAAATTGAGGAAAATGGAAGGTGTGAACAAATTTGTTGGGTCTTTGGAAACTGCATCGCTACAAATTGAGTGAAGAAACGCATAGGTTAAAAATAATTTTATGCTCCGCACTTAAATTAAGTGGAGCCCAATATAAACATAAAAAAACCTATGCACAAAATGTAGGAAAATTGGGGGCGTTTTTTGTTAAATTTTTCTTTGATTTGAAAAGAAAAACCCACTGAAGTGTGTCGCGCACAATATCAAACGATGAATTAATTTCGAAAAAAGAAAACAAATGCGAATTGTTGATCGAATAAAATGAATCAGTGTGCGCCTAAAAATAGCAACTAAATTGACAGCTATAAAGTGTGCAAGGTATTAATGTCAGCAATTCGAACTAGAAAATTGAACTGTAATTGGAAATTCGCCAATGGGCTGGCCGCATAAAAATCAATTTAATTGCGTTTCACTATAAATCACATCTATTGTATTATGCGGAGCCCGATTCGAGTCGGTCCAACTAATAAAAAGCTACTCCGCTATGCCCGTGCCACGCCCACCCAGCCCATCCCATCCTCTCGGTGTCGGACTCACCCGCAAAGGCACGCACGTATGGTAGTGCAGAGACAGCAACAACTCCGCTCTTCAAGTGATTCAAGTTGTACCTGTGCTGTTTGTTAGCAATAAGTGCGAAATTTCGTGCCCACGGTGCGTAGCGAGAAAGTGAAAACATTTTTCGAACGCCTCCAATTGACAACCGAAAGTCCGTATAACGAATAACGTAAAACAGCAACGGCGCGACTGCAGTTTGCACTTGGCACTGATGGGTTATTTAATCACATGTGAAAAAAAAAACAACTGGGAAAAGTCAATGTGAGTGTTGCTCTCACACCCACACACACACACTAACTAAACCAATATTTATGCAATTTTTCTCACTTCCGTGTTTTTATTATTTTTTTGGCATTCTATTTCTACGTATGCACGCTTGTTGTGTGTGTAAGTTTATGTGTGCACACAAACAGGGAGGGAAAGCGTATTAGAGAGAAAGCCAAGTTAATGCTTGCAGCTTGCTCAATATCATACGGTTGCCTACAAAAAGAAAATAAATGCATTCATTTTCTAGCTGATAGAATTTTTCATAACCATATAATTTAAAACACCAATTTATCAATAAAAATTCCTAATACGCCAGGCGCAAGGCAAACTAAAAACACACACACAATACATATTCAAACGTCGGTGTCCTTGAAGGGGCGCTGCGTCTAGGCCAGGAAAACGCTCACCTGCAAATATGTATATAATTTGGTGTTGCTTATATTGCTATTTTTGGCTTTTGTTTATAATTTTTGCAGTCGTTGTGATCAGCGCCCAATTTGCGTCTATTAGCCACAACTGCTATGTTTTCACAGCAACGGAAAATGAAAAACTAAAAAGCTACAAAACAGCTGCCTAAGAAAGTTGACAATGCTACCAGACAAAATCACCAAGCAAACAGCTGTTGTACCGCGCTGCCAACGATTAAAATAGTAGTTTTGGTCTGTCTGGTAGCACTGCAGATACATTTGTTTTGTTGGCTGCACGTATAGTTGTAATCTCTTGTAACTTTGTTCATTTTTGTCGCTAATATTAAAAGAAAAAAATATTAATTCGATGTTTAATTAATGGCAAATAGTCGGTGTAGATAGTTATAAGACGCGATGTGAAAATCTTGATTTGAAAACGAACAAGCAGCGACCACACGCAAAGAGGGCGTCAACAAAGGGCGGAAGAGCACAAAGAAGAAGAAACTAAAAAAAAAGAAAAATCAAATTCGACGCCTAACGAATATTTGTATTACTTGTTAGTAGTAGTTGTGATAACTACGTTGCCATGAGTAACCACAGATATCATCACGGCGGCGGCAGCTACATGCATGCACGAATGTCATATCCACATCACTTTACATACGTTTCCAGTTGTGTGAAATACCTTATCTTTTTGCTAAACTTTTTGTTTTGGCTGTTCGGAGGCCTGCTCTTAGCGATTGGCGTTTACGCATTTATGGATAAGTTGAAGGATGGCATTGGCTGGGTTCGATTGGAAACTATTTACGACGTTATCTTCAATATATCTTTAGTGATGATCATAGCGGGCATTGTCATATTTGTGGTCAGCTTTGCTGGTTGTTTAGGTGCTCTAAGAGAGAATACTTGCCTTTTGAAATTCTACTCGATGTGCTTACTGATCTTCTTCCTTATGGAAATGGCTATTGGTGGGCACGAGTTATTTTTTTGTTCACCGTCAGTTAACCTTAATTAATTGTGCTCTGTTTACAGCCATAATTTGCTTTGTATTCCCACAAAACATGAACTCATTTTTAGAGTTCCAATTTACTGATAAGATTATCCACTCATACCGTGATGACTCCGACTTACAGAACTTTATAGACTTTGCGCAACAGGAGTTCAAGTGCTGTGGTCTAAGCAATGCTGGCTACCAGGATTGGAGTACGTAGAAATTTTAAGTTTAAACTTCAGACATTTTTTAACGGTGTAATCTTCTAGGCAAAAATGAATACTTTAACTGCTCGTCGCCATCAGTAGAGAAGTGCGGTGTGCCGTACAGCTGTTGCATCAATGCTACGGATATTAGCTCGGGTCTAGTCAACATCATGTGCGGCTATGGTGTGCAGGAGCACTCGGTGGCTGCAGCTAGCAAACGGATATGGACCAGCGGCTGCATTGAAATCGTTCGTGTCTGGGCAGAAAGGAATCTGTATGTGATTGCAGGCGTTGCTTTGGGAATTGCGTTCTTGCAGCTCTTTGTAATTTACCTGGCCAAAACTCTCGAGGGTCAGATCGATATGCAGAAATCGCGTTGGTCGTGAGTGCCATAGCACCCGGTTTTCTACGGGTATCCTTTCGATGATTTCTACTACTACGACACTCAGATGTAAGCAGAGGGCAGCAAAGTAAACGGCCAGGCCGTGTCTGTGTCACTCTTGCTAATCCATTCTTCGTCAATCGTTAGTTTATCTGGTCCGTGCAATGCTCAAATATTTTTTCACAATCAAACATTATTTATACAATTTTACTCTTCTGAAGCTTTTTGCATTTCGAATATTATTGCCCTTCATTGCCATTTTCTTTGTTCTCAATGACTCAATATACTACTCCGAATACTAGCCCTTATATCTTAATCGTGTATACCTACATAAATAATCATAGAGAAATAATTGTATTACCAAATGCCACATTTGAAATGAGCATTGCCCATTTAATGCATGTTTATATGTAAGTATTTTAAATGGCTTATCGATCATAGACAAAATTATAATGAAATTAAAAGATTTTGATATTTCAACGCAATATTTATATGTTCTCGTTATCATAAAAATTAAAGACATAATGTACATAGATGTTAAGAGGGGTGTATGCATTTACTGTATGGCATTCGAACTAAAATTATAAGCCAATTTCAAATTGCATGCGCATTTATGTATGTATTGTATACCCAACACAATTAGTATTAGAATAAATATTATATACCTTATTGTATTGTAGTAGTACACTATTCAAAAATACTTATCTTAAAATATCGAACAAATATATGTGTATACAAATGACAGATACTAGATCTCTGATTATTTGTTTTGATTACGTTACTAGTATAGTAAATAATTTATTAAATATTTGAAGCCACCCTTAAGACTTTTACTTTAATTATAAGTAACAACTTTCAACATTTCTAAATGCGTAGCAATTTCAAAGTGAACAGATATGCTCATATATATGTATTTTTTTTTTGCTAAATCATCCATCTATATAATAAATACACATATTTTTTATTTCATCATTTGATGAAATTATATGCCAAGGCTGAAGATAATTCGAGCACCATCAAGATTACATTACCTAATTCAAGGTGACCAGATAAGACTTTGTCTCTCTTTAAACTAGCTTTTCTTGAAGCGTTAATTAACTCATTCCATTGAAGTATTTTGATAACGTGCGCTTTTCTTTATTATCTCTTATGACAGAGCAAGTAAAAAATATGTATGTATATTGAACAACTTTTAGTAGTTTATAATGCTGCGAACGCTTTCGCCACTGTGCATCAAATCGAAAGCTTCGTTGATTTTAGTTAGCGGCATTTCGTGCGTTATGAACTCATCCACAAGTAGATCTCTCTTTAGGTAGGCCTCCACTAGTTTGGGTACATCCGAAACGGAGCGCCAACCACCAAACGCAGAGCCCTTCCACACACGACCCACAACCAACTGGAATGGTCGAGTTGAAATCTCCTGGCCAGCACCGGCCACACCTATCACCACAGATGTGCCCCAGCCCTTATGCGTGGCTTCCAGAGCAGCGCGCATGGTATTTACGTTGCCAATGCACTCAAAGGTGTAATCAAAGCCGCCATCGGTCAAATCAATCAAATAGTTCTGAATAGGGCCCTTGTCAGCCACATCTTTGGGATTCACAAAGTCAGTGAAGCCGAACTGCTTTGCAAATTCGAATTTAGATGGATTGATGTCAATGCCATAGACCTTGCTTGCGCCAGCCTTTTTACAGCCAAGTCCAACAGCTAAACCTACGGCACCCAGTCCCCAAACGGCACAAGTGCTGCCTGGTTCTACCTGTATATAAAACAATGCTTGAGCTGAATATATAATATTATTTACTGACTTACCTTAGCAGTATTGAGAGCCGCACCATACCCGGTGGAAATGCCACAGCCCAGAAGACACACCTTGTTCAACGGAGCAGTTTCATTGACTTTGGTTAATGAAATATCAGCAACTACAGTGTACTCCGAGAATGTGGAGGTGCCCATGAAATGGAATAGTTGCTTGCCTTTGCAAGTGAAGCGAGTTGTACCATCGGGCATTACGCCAGCTCCCTGGGTGACTCGAATCTTCTGGCAAAGGTTAGTTTTGCCACTCAAGCAGAACTTACAATCATTGCATTGCGGAATGTATAGTGCAATAACGTGGTCGCCGGCCTTAAAGTTGGTCACGCCCTCTCCTACGCTCTCCACAATGCCAGCGCCCTCGTGGCCCAGCACAGAGGGGAACAGGCCCTCGGGATCCGCACCACTCAATGTGAAAGCATCTGTGTGGCACACACCTGTTGCCGTAAGCTTAATGCGAACCTATAAAGTGCATACATATGTATGTATAACTGTAATAGTTAGACTTTGGTATCGTTCTCGACATACTTCATGGGCCTTCGGGGGGGCCACTTCGATATCTTCGATAACAAGCGGCTTTTTAGCCTCCCAAGCAACAGCAGCTTTGCACTTGATAACCTAGAAGGAAATATACACACTTGTGTTTTAGTTAATTAAGTTATTTATTTTATACACACTTTTCCTTCAGTAGCGGACATTTTGTTCTAGCTATCTTTTTAATGGAAAAAACCCAGAACGACTGAACCAGAGCAGAAGCGGAATAGCGAATGTTAGAGATGTGAACAAACGCCAGCTATATGCTGGTTCCCCGAGGTTTTCCTCTCTCTTTCTTTTGTCGGTCATTGTGAATAATTAATATTGGTGGACCAAACTAGTACACGTGACATAAGCGCTGGAAAAAATATGTATTCCAACAAGTATTCAGAAACTGTTCGGCAATAATTTTAACCCATTTGCTATTATTAATCGATACTTTGCTAAGTTTTGGCGCCATAAACGGCAAGCCACTAAATATGTAAATTTATTAAACATATATATTATTAAAAATTTTATAATACCCTGCTTCCACTTATTTATATTTAGTATAGATTTCTGTGTATTTTATACAACAGCCATGATTATTAACCGGAATTATTAAATTACATATAAATATTTGTTTTTCTTGTCAAGTTTGTTATCGATGCATGGTAGACTCTGACGGCGAAATTAAATATCGGGTGAATTGCAAAAATACCAAATACATTCAAAATAACGTTTTTGGTTTAAATTCAAATTGAGTGTTTCACTATTTCCCTTTAAAAATTAAAATAAGATAGATGATTAGTATGATTTTTATTAAAAGTGATCGCACTTTTGATTTAAAGATGTTAGTTGGCTTGTTTTTACTTTATTGTTTAGCAGCTGTTTGATTGCATTTTAAAACAAGTTGATGCGCCTGCGTAAGCTTGCTGTAAACATTATTCGCCCAACCCAAAAAGGCGGCAACGTCAAGGAACGCCAAATCAGCACAAGGACACCGAGTTTGTATGAAAAATCAATAATTACATAGCTACCGAGACGCACAGCCGGAAGTGCATTTTTATGCTTGTAACGTTAACTGCAGCGGATAAAAAACTAATTTTATTACATAGATGGTACTAAAAAGATGTAGATTGTGAATACACATAATTTTATATATTGCTTGAGTACAAAATGGTTGGTAAAGGCGCGTTGACCGCAGATGTGACAACAACAAAGGAACGCCCTGTTTTCATTCCACCACGAAAACGTCAACAAAACAAAGCCGAGGCTAAAAAACAAAACTATGTGGATCACATAGTTAATGTGCAGGTATGTTCACTTATTATTGCTATCAGTTTTAACAATAAAATGCATGTATATATTTCTATACATATCGTATCGTAAATAATATATGTATATATTTTCAGCAAAACCGAACTAAACTCTCGCCCTCGAATCCAGGTCTCGAGGAAGAGTTGCTCAAGTCGAAATTGATAATAAAAAATAAACAGCCATTGCCTCAGCTACCCGGTGAACAGGGTGACACAATCGCCAGCACCAACTCAGCCAGTTCCACTCAACAGAGCAATAAATCAGCACGCTCTGCCAACAATCTGAATGAGCTGCAGAATTTTGAGTCCATTTCGCAGGGCACCAAGTCCACATCCCAGCGCCATGAAAGCAGCACCGTAACACCCAGCAGCTGTTGCTATTCAGAGAGTAGCCTGGATGCCAAGCTGAGCAAATCGCAGGACTGTCTCAGTCTGAGCAATCGTTCATCGTCGAAGAAGCGAGTTAATATACGCACCTCGGACTTGCCACATGTGCGTAGCGGACGAGCTACGCCGGACATTGCCAACTATGAGGATCTGGAGTCGGGCGAAACCAGTGTGCTAAACACCTATGATCAGAGTCTAGAACGTTATCAGACACGCAAGTCGGGAGTCGATGGAAGTAACTATTTAACTATGACAGGTGGGTACAAAGATATTTCAGTTCATTGCACTCGAGTTCATCGTCATTATCTCTGTTTAGGCACCATTAAGAGGGGTCGCAAGAAAGGTCAGTCCATAGATCTGCAGATAAACATCAGCCGGGAGGAACTGGAACAGCTTAATGCCCATGCCATGGCGACTGAGTCGCACAAGGGTCAGAATCTCTGCTGCACTTGCAGCTGTGGTGTTGGTCTACACATCTTTCTCATCTCGCTAATATGTTTACCCTTTGTGACTATCATCTCGGCTGCTTACTCATTTTACATCGGCACTTTGACCTGGTATAATATGTTCAACTACTACTGCGAGGAGAAGTCGTATTTGCACAAGATCTTCGTCACGCCCATACTTTTCCTGGCTTATCCATTGGCTATTGTTCTCTGCACTTTTGGGCTGGGTTTGTATTCGGGATTTAAGCAGCTGAGTCTGCAATACAGCAGCTGGGTGAATGACATAACCGATATAGAGAAGGGTTTCTATGGCTGGTTGTGCGGCTTCTTACACATGTCCGATTGTAGTCCCTACGAGGTGGTCATCCTGACTGATATATGCGTGGCTCCACAGGACCCCCAGCGGCTACACATTAATAAGCCCAGGCAGGAATTATCCATGTAAAATCAAAGAATCGAAAAAAAGTTATTAACAAAAAGCAGCGCAAACCGTCAAATCCAATAAAAGTGCTGGGTGCATCCATAAATGAATTTGGGTTAGGTTGTAGTTATCTAGTTAGCTTTATCTCTCAACATACATATATATGATTTATGATTTTTTTATATTTTCTATATATTTATATACACAATATAAAACAAATTGAATAGCAAGCACCGCAGTAGCCAACAGCATATCGAAATACTTTTTGTGACGGTTTCGATTTTCGACCATATGTGTGATAAACGTAATTAGAAACATAAAAAACAAAAACATCAGTTACTCAAATCTATATCTATATCAACAAAACTAAAACTAAAGTTCGATGCATTTAGTTCCATTTTGGCCAAATTTGTTCCTTTCATAACTTTCTACTGCAAGTACACACAAATACATACATACAAATACTATCCAATTTATAGAATCTAGACATTAAGTTCCTTTTATTGTAAATCCACATATACATACATATATAATCAAATAGTCATATATATTCAATGTCAAAATTTAGCGTTTTTTGTTGATTTCCTTTCAATGTTTAAGTCAAGGCCAAATTTACTCCAGAGATTACGATTGCATTTACAAATATTTGCATTTATATTGATATAAACCAAAGTGAAACTGCATAGTAGCTATAAAGCATTTTCTTAAGCATAAGCAAGCAACTTTTTTAGTCTTAAGTACCAAAAATACAGCCAATAGTAGAGGCTAACATATAAATAAATTTGAATGATATGCGATATAAGCAAATGTTTTTAAATAGACATTCTAAAATGTAAGTGGTATACTTAATAAAAAATAGCTAACTGCGTGGCGCTGAATATTATATACCCTGTCAGACATATTGAGTCGTGAACGATCTTGGATCTTTACGTTAATTTAAGTTTATGGACAAAAAGTTTTTAAAAAAAAAAAAAAAAAACTATTTTAAGTGCAATGATTTTTGTATTTATTGAGTCAGGTTAAGATATATGTATGTAAAAAAATATTAACAACTTTTTCCTAAGAACAACAGATTGGTTCTCGCCAGATCGTTCCTATGACAGATTTATGATATAGGAATGCGATCTAGCCGATTTTACAATATATGTTGCCTGTAACAATTTGGAATATGATCTGATCAGTTTCGAAGACTGTTATGCATTGAAACGATATGTCGATCATGAATATATACATACGTACACATACAAATAAAAAGACGTTCCCATTAAAGTGTTGTCCATGCACTGTGACTAAATTAAAATACTCTTTGCGGCAGCCAATGGAAAAATATACTTGCATATATATTACAATTACTTAATTAGTTTGAGAAATAAAGAAAACAAAAACTATAATTGAGAATAATTTGACCCACTTGTTATCAATTTTTGTTATCAGATTGTTATCAGATATATTGTATTATAGCTTATTAATTTTAATTGCTTTTAATCTGTTCGCCGCACCTCGTTCGTATAAGGTAAATATTGGATGAAATGATAAGATATACTCTTTAAGCCAATATTGCCCTTCACATTATGAAAAGAGAATAATAAACAATAATATACATATGTATGTATGCATATGTTGATGCACACGGCACATGCCCACATAAATATCAATATGTGTACCTAAATGCTATACACATTGGATGAAGGGAGACAGGAATATAACAGCCGGCAATTTCAAGCACAAATAAAAACAGAAAAGCTCAGTGAATAAACTAAAAACAAGTGGGCGAATTGCATCAATAAACAGCTGTTCAAGAGCGCAGATAGTAAGTTGAATGCGAGTATTTTCTGAATTAATTCTAATACTATAAACAAATAAAAAGAAAATGAAATATTATTTTATTATTCGCATAATATAATGTCTGCTTACTTATAAATTAACATTTACTTTTTTTATTTTTTGTATAAGTATCTTTCTCGCGTGTTCAGAGAAAGAGAGAGAGAGAGAGTCTCTCCACTACAGCCAACTTTTTTATTGAGCATAGCGACCAGCTATTTAATAAATTAGTTTAGTATCCATTGGGCGTTTAATACGTGCAGACCATATTTGCTTGCAAGTAAATACGTTTGTATTCGTAACAGTAAAAGTAAATAGTTAAACTACAGAATGACACAGGATAATCTGACTGCAGTTTTGCACGGAATAAACGATTTGCGATTGGTATGAAAAGAATTAATGATATAATACAAATAAAAAGTAATACATTTTATATGCAGGAGCAACGTCCGATCCCGGAAATATCAGATGAGGGTAAGCCATTAATATCAACAACTATCGAACGCCCGCAGAATCGAGCTGTCGATAAATCGATATTAATTTAAAATAATTTTATACAGAGGTTTTAATCGCAATGGACAGCGTTGGGATCTGTGGATCAGATGTTCATTATTTAACTAAAGGTCGTATCGGCCACTTTGTGGTGACCAAGCCCATGGTAATTGGCCACGAAAGCGCAGGTGTGGTGGCCAAAGTGGGTTCCAAAGTTAAGAATCTGGCTGTAGGAGATCGAGTTGCCATTGAGCCGGGAGTTCCTTGCTACAAATGCGATCATTGCAAGCAAGGCAGCTACAATCTGTGTCCTGACATGGCATTCTGTGCCACGCCCCCGTATGATGGTAATCTGACACGATACTATAAGCACGCAGCGGACTTTTGCTTTAAATTGCCTGATCATGTTACCATGGAGGAAGCTGCTCTACTAGAACCGTTGTCCGTGGGAGTACATGCTTGCCGTCGTGCTGGTGTGGGCTTAGGCTCCAAGGTGCTTATCCTTGGTGCAGGTCCCATCGGACTGGTTACGTTACTGGTAAGCAAATATCCATTCATTTTGTCAATTTAACTAATTTGTTTTATTTATAGGTAGCACAATCTTTGGGAGCCACGGAGATTCTGATTACGGATTTAGTACAGCAACGTCTGGATGTTGCCAAAGAGTTGGGCGCCACACATACACTGCTGCTAAATAAAGAAGATGCCGCGGAAGACATCGCTGATCGTGTGCGTCAATTGATGAGTGCTGAACCTGATAAATCAATCGACTGCTGCGGAGCAGAGAGCAGCACGCGACTGGCAATCTTTGTAAGAGCTTCTAGTGCGATATGATGTATGCTCCAATTATCTGATTTTGTCATATATTGCAGGCTACACGATCTGGCGGTGTTGTTGTTATTGTTGGCATGGGACCGCCTGAAATGAAGCTGCCCCTATTCAATGCCCTGGCTCGAGAGGTAGACATTCGCGGTGTCTTCCGTTACTGCAATGAGTGAGTGGAAACCTAAGTCTTTATCTAAATATACAGGCTAACAAATTCTTTTGTCATTGTAGCTATGCCGCTGCTTTGGCCCTGGTGGCCTCTGGAAGAGTGAATGTAAAGCGTCTTGTAACACATCATTTTGATATTACAGAGACTCAAAAAGCATTCGAAACAGCTCGGGACGGCTTAGGTGGCGCCATTAAAGTTATGATACATGTACAAGCTAGAAATACAAATAATCCAGTTGTATTTTAGCTTGCCATGAAACGTAACATCATTATTCAAAATATATTCTTTCGACAAAAACAACGTTTATAATTGCATGAAAATTTTAGTTTTTATCTTATTCTGGATATATTGTTTTTTGGTTCAAAATCAATATATATATATATAAATATATATATTCGAGTAGTTCAGCCGTTATAAACGAAATGGATAGCTGCCGACTGTTGCGGAATCTATTAAGCTGTTTAACCAGAAAATACAGCGGCTTTGGCTCTTTGTCTCCAATGATTCGACACTTGCACGGAGTAGGGGTGGATCTCGATGATTTGATCAAGGAACGCATGCGCAAACAATTGCTTACTGATTGGCATACAACAAATGAGGAAAGGCAGGTGAATGTGGCTAGTGAGCCGACGACACAGGCAGCCAGCTTAGAGAAGGTTCTCAAACAGGATCTAGATATGGATCGGCAGAACAAGATCAAAAGCAATTATGTCGTTACATTAAAAAAATCAAATGCGATTGCAAGCGAAACAGCCTATAAAATAAATGGAATTATTTCAGTTATTAAGAGTGGCACGGCACCCGTAAGTTATAGGTACCGGGAAAAGTCCGGGGAGAATCTGCCTACTGCAAGATCTACTAAGGTGTAGAAATCCTATCCTATGTGTGCACAATCTTAACGAATTGAATAAAATGATTACAAAGAATGATTTCCTAATAAATTTGTTATTTATGTAACATTTTGAAATATTAGACAATTAAATAAATGTGACCATACGCATGGTGTATGTATGTATGTGTTGTATGGTCAGTGGTAGTACCAAAAGAAACGCATCGTACTCGATCTTACAAGGAGTCGAGTATTTGTCTTTGGGCCAAATTTTTATTAGATCCGGGATAGATTTTTGTTTTATTGGGTTAAATAAAGGCAATTTTAAAATTACTTGTACAATTAAAAAACTCTGTTAAATATCTCACTCCTCCTCCGTAACATCGGCTAATGAAAAGTAGTTTGTAGTAGTTTATATAAGTCGTTCATTGTAAAATCTAATTTTTTGGTCCACGCCAATATTTTATGATGTCTCCAAAAATCGCATGTTGATTCTACGGAAGAATCGTTGTCATTTTCAGGACTGGATATTATATATGGTATTAGTAAATTAATTGATTTCACACAAGCTAAATTATCTTTAAAATGGATATTTGTGAATATCGGATCCAGTAAACAAGAAGTCGAAATTAAGTGGTTTTCTTCAATGGATGCGAGTCTGCCTTCTATTTGTTTAATCATTTCTTTTTCACCGCATGTATGACTGTCATACCATCGTCGACCGCTCCTACAGCCACAGGTGCATCATTAATGTGCGTCTTCGGGCAATTCACCATCGATATAATTATACCCTGAACCCATTGAAAATGGGAAATCAGGGTATAATGGTTTTGTTAAAAGTATGTAACAGGCAGAAGGAGGCGTGGCACACCCCACAAAGTATATATAGCCTTGATCAGGGCGACGAGCTGAGTCGATTTGGCCCTGTCCGTCTGTCTGTCCGTCCGTCCGTCCGTCCGTCCGTCCGTCCGTATGTATGAACGCGTCGATCTCAGAAGATATAAGAGCTAGAGACTTAAAATTTTTTTCCTAGGTCCGTGTATATCACGCGCATATCAAGTTTTTCTTTATATATCGATAACTACTCCCGATATTTTATTATCGATTAAAAACCTTATCGAAAGCTAGTTTTTTAATTATATCTCCTACACCTTTAGAGCTAGAGCTTCCAAATTTTAAATGTAGACTTATATGTATTTTATATAATTTCGATTTTTGTTGTAATTTACCCCCCACCCCTATATTCACCCCCTCACCCACACCTTTGTAAAAGGCGTATTTCAAGTACTAGAGACGTGTGCTTTAGAATGTGCACACATTTTTACCATATAATTACGCTCTGATAGTTTCATTAAGATTGTACGTCTAGAAATTAAATTATTCAACAAATAAATTCTTATAATGTTGCCCACACTGCAGCGCAGCCCAAGCGCAGTCGCTGCTTACTGCGCAGTTAGCAGAGCGCGTTCTACTACGTGCGTGTGTATGTATGTGTGCCGAAAAGAAGTGCAGACTGATTAGAATATCAGATTAGAGGGTTCAGGGTATCTCCTAGTCGAGCAGTCTCGACTAGAGTCTTCTTACTTGTTTTGCTTATGGTCACATATTCTTCACCCAACAGCTCTTTACCAACATACACTAGTGGCTTTAAAATACTCATGAATTTTTAAAAATATTCAAATTTTGGAGCTGAGAGTGGGGATGGTGCTTTAATAATAAAAATTGAGAAACAATAGGCGAGAGCTTAATAAATCTCAAGAGCACAAATAAACGGAATTCCAACTTGTCGTTACAAAATCTGTTTCAGAGGTTGAGACGAGGTTGCTTTTCTTGTAACGCATCGCTGGCAATTACACTGCACTTGAAGAATTTTACAATGTCTCGCACTTTGCATATTAATAAATTAGTCTTTAACTTACATTACCGACTCAGCGATGAGACGATTGTATGGGCAAAGCAAGGCAAGCTCATGACAATGATCTTCAGCTTAGGCCATAGTTTTATAATTCGGTTCCAGACATTTCATAATAAAGTCCTAATACAGTGCTCCGGCACATTGATATCAAATCCTGTCGTTAATTCCATTATACTTTTGAGCCACAGGGCCAATAGTCAAAGAGAGAAAGTTAGGTTCTTCAACCTAAGCATCCGAAAGCTAACGGAGGACTAACGGATCTAAATAGCACATATGTATACCTCTAGACTACATAACATGCCACCTTTGTTCAAATTACATTCATCCATTCAGTATGCCTTTCATCTAGAGCAAAGCTGACTATGCAACGCGACATAAAAGTTCCATTACGAAAATAATGAGCAGTAACTCCTAAATAACTGGTAAAAGCCATCATTTCGCTCCAAACATCACATGTTAGTGTCGCGTGAGGTACATTTTCAAATGTGTTTTGAATTTTGCAATGCATTATAGTATTATAGTATAAAAATCCTCCAATTGAGCTTTTAGCGTATCAATGTTTGGAATTTTGAATGATGGACAGGTTTTCTTAACAAATTTCTGAAATCGGCGGAAATAAAGTAAAGGAAGCTGAGTTCTGAATCATCTTCTCCGCCATTCGAATACGAAAATTCGCGTTCCATTTATTGTATAATAGACTGTTGTATTTTTTTTTAGGTGGCTCGCATGTATTTTCCACATCGCTGTCTGTTTGGGTATGAGCTTTTACAAAGTTTTCCACTGCAGATGTTTTCGATGAACTTGTTGATGGTTGCGGCTTAGTTTCATGTCTTGATGGACTCAGCAGATCCAGATCTCTTGTAAAATTTTTTTTGTTTATTCCCAATTTTATTTACACTAAGAAAATATAAAACGTATCATAATTTGTTTTGTGCACATACTAGGGGCAATAATATATATTGTGATATATCAACAGCACACAATCGAAGACGTGACAAGATCACATTACATCCTTTTAATGGCGACCAACGCTCAACATAATCCAAAGCAATAAAAGCTCCAAACCAGACCTATAAAACATCCCCAAAATCTAGCTTAGGCAATTCAGTTGTATCCTGTTGCGTTCGCAAATTATTCTTGTGTTAATTATAAGCAAATCAATTGTACTCCTTTGTGGGAAATAAAAATTATTTTTTGTAATTAACCTACAATGCAAAACTTATTATTTTATGTATCTGAGATACTTTAGTATTAATATTACTCAACTAAAATGAAACATGTGTCATCTAGTTGTCACTGTTTGTTAAATTATTCGAATGAATAACAGCATCGACAGATAGATGGCGCGGTGCAATTGAAGTAGTGTCGGTCTCTAAATATCTCTAGTGCTCCACACAGTGGCAGCGCTAGTGGTAGCGCTGTAGAAAATGAATAAACCCATCATTTGAGCGCGGAATGGAATTCAATATAATCATGACATTTTTTAGTCTCTAAATTAAAGGTCATCGCAATACAAGCATGCTTAACATTAATCAATTATTTTCACTTCGTAAGCAACTGATCGAATTTTCACCCACATTCTACACTTGTTATATACATACATGTTCATATGTATGTATGTATGTTCGTAATTAATCACTTCCATAGGCACACACATCAAACGAAACCTTGCGAACTAATTATGGAAAACTGGAAGTAAATTGTTGATAAGCCCAACGAACTTTTATTGAAAAAAATTTTGCATTAGATTCGAATCAGCGTTCAAGCTGTGCGGACTTTTTCTCTCAAACAAATATTTGACTTAATATTTTATAATAGAAAGCCAAAATGGCAAAGGATAACCTAACGGCTGTTTTACATGGCATTGAGGACATGCGCTTGGTAGGACAAACTCATAATACATAATAATAATTATAAATATAAATATTTAATTTTTCTCATGCCATAAACAGGAACAGCGTCCTATACCGAATATTTCCCCAGAAGGTAAAGATTGTATATCAATTAAACGTTTTATTTATTTTCAAATAAATCTGATTTACAGAGGTTTTAATCGCAATGGATAGCGTCGGAATTTGTGGATCAGATGTTCATTATTTGACTAAAGGTCGTATCGGCCACTTTGTGGTGACCAAGCCCATGGTAATCGGCCACGAAAGCGCAGGTGTGGTTGCCAAAGTGGGCAGCAAAGTTAAGAATCTGACTGTAGGAGACCGAGTTGCCATTGAGCCGGGAGTTCCTTGCTACAAATGCGATCATTGCAAGCAAGGCAGCTACAATCTGTGTCCCGATATGGTATTCTGTGCCACGCCCCCTTACGATGGTAACCTGACCCGATACTATAAGCACGCAGCGGACTTTTGCTTTAAGTTGCCTGATCATGTCACCATGGAGGAGGGTGCGTTACTAGAACCTCTATCCGTGGGAGTGCATGCCTGCAAACGTGCAGGCGTCAGCTTGGGATCGAGGGTGCTGATTCTAGGTGCAGGTCCTATTGGATTGGTTACACTGCTGGTGAGTGGTCTTCTTCAACTATTCATTTGCAGTTCACTTCATTGTGAGTGCTCTAGGTTGCTCAATCCATGGGTGCAACGGAAATTTTAATAACCGACCTGGTGCAACACCGTCTGGACATTGCTAAAGAGCTAGGCGCCACTCACACTCTGCTGCTGACGAGTGATGAGACAGCTGAGCAGGTCGCGGATCGTGTGCGTAAAGCAATGGGTGAGGACCCCGACATATCGATTGACTGCTGTGGAGCGGAGAGCACTACACGTTTGGCGATCTTTGTATGACCCCAACTGATATCTTTTATATGCATTTCGTCTATAACTATGTTCTTTGCTACGACAGGCTACACGAGCAGGAGGTGTTGTTGTTATTGTTGGCATGGGACCGCCTGAAATGAAGCTGCCCCTATTCAATGCCCTGGCTCGAGAGGTAGACATTCGCGGTGTCTTCCGTTACTGCAATGAGTGAGTGGAAAGCTAAGCCTTTATCTAAATATACAGGCTAACAAATTCATTTGTCATTGTAGCTATGCCGCTGCTTTGGCCCTGGTGGCTTCTGGAAAAGTGAAAGTAAAGCGACTTGTCACCCACCACTTTGATATTCAAGAGACACAAAAGGCATTCCAAACAGCTCGTACTGGCACGGGCGGTGCCATTAAAGTTATGATACATGTTCAACCTAGGAATACCAACAATCCTGTAAAATTTTAGCTCAGAGATTTTAGTAAGCATTGGGTTATAAGTCTGAAAACATGTAATACGTAGTTTTAGAAGAAACAATAAATTTATTTGCTTGGTACAAAATTAACCGTTTGTTCTTATAGTTTCAAAATTACATTTGCATTTTATGCGCTTAGTTTCGGTAGTTTAAATTAGGACTCAAGCAAAAAAAAAAAAAAAGCAAAAAAAGGCGCACAAAATGTCCAACTTGCTGTATTGGCGGTTATCTCGACCCCTCTACACCTACTTATCCGTTAGATTTGTTTGTTATCGTCCATTGGCTCCAATGATCCGATACTTTCATGAAGATAAGACCGAGGAGTTCAAAAAACGCCTGCGACAACGAATGAAAAAGAATGCTGAACTAAAAGACGATGCTGCTAAGGCCAGGCAAAAAGCAGCCACCCCTGCCACCATAGCAGAGTCCGCCAGCTTATCGAAATTGAACGAAACTAAGCCATCGACCAGTATTAATATAAATGAGAACAGTCCAAATCTATATGGCGTTGAGTGCCCTATTCAACCGAATGCCGACCCTGACTGTTCAGCAGTTTCCAGCTCTTCGATTTCAAATCCATCTCAAGATAAGGATATCGAGTCAAGTGTGGAGACGTTTGAAATCAGGGCGAAAGCATTTGTTGAATCAGCTAAACATAAGGAAAAGGAATCTGAACGCCCAGCAGATGAACAGGCTTCAAAAAATAGTCCAATAAAGAAGCCAAAGTTTTCTCCAAGTACTTCAACACCAATTGATTTGAAAAGTGCCGACTCACCCAAAAAGGATTCGCATGATCCAATGAAGGAAAAAAGTAAAAGTTTTCCGCTATTTAGACCTGAAACAGAGAACGAATCATCTGATTTGAAAATATCAGCAAAAGCTGAGAAAACATTGGAGTCTCAAAAAGATTTCAAGAGCTATGGATTAAACGAATCAATTAAAATTGAACCTTTCAACTCAAGTCAAAGTGTTTCGCATGATTCAGTGGAGCAAAAGGGTGAAAGCTCTAACCTATCTAACCTATCTAGAACTCAAGTAAATAAAGAAACAGACATAACATCAACAAAAGCTGAGAAAACTTTAGAATCTTTAAAGGACTTTAGGAGCGAAGGCGGAAAAGATTCATTTAAAATGAAATCTCAAGTCCCATGGGAGGGAATGTTCGATCACCATACTGATCGCTATATTTCTAAGACCAAGCTGCGAAAAGAAAGCAATGAAAAAACTGTAAGTTCCAAAGGTGAGAGGTCCAAGCATATGTCTATGGATGGGCCAAAGGGGCAAAGCAAGATTGAAGAAAATAGAATTGAACAATTATCTCAAGCAGAAGCGGAAGCGGAAGCGAGAGCCGAAGTTAAAGCTAAATTGATAACCCAAACGAAAGCTGAAGCGAAAGTGGAAGCGAAAGCCGAAGCGGAAGTCGAAGCGGAAGCCGAAACGGACGAAGAGATGAAAGTAGAACCGAAAGCAGAAGCGAAAGCGAAAGCCGAAGCGGAAGCGGAAGCGAAACTGAAAGCTAAGGAGGAAGCAAAGGCTAAAGCGGAAGCGAAAGCTATAGCGGATGCCGAAGCAAGAGCTAAAGCGAAAGCTATAGCGGATGCAGAAGCAAGAGCTAAAGCGAAAGCTAAAGCGGAAGCGAGAGCTATAGCGAATGCAGAAGCAATAGCTAAAGCGAAAGCTAAAGCGGAAGCGAGAGCTATAGCGGATGCAGAAGCAAGAGCTAAAGCGGAAGCGAAAGCTAAGGCGGAAGAGAAAGCTAAAGCGGAAGCTAAAATCAAAGCGGAAGCTAAAGCTAAGGCGGAAGCGAAAGCTAGAGCAGAAGCGAAGGCTAGAGCGGAAGCAGAAGCTAAAGCGAAAGCGGAAGCTAAAGCTAAAGCGGACGCGAAAGCGAAACTGGAAGCAGAATTGGTTGCCGCAGCAAAAGCAGAAGCTGAAGCAAGAGCAGATGAAAAAGCTAAAGCGGAAGCGATTGAGAAACTGAAAGCAGAATCGGCGGCCGCAGCAAAAGCAGTTGCCGAAGCAAAAGCGGCTGTCAAAGCAAAATTCAAATTAGAAGCAAAAGCAGATCGTGCTCAAAAAGAAATTGAGTCTCAAGCTAAAGTGAGGGTTTTGAATGAAACAAAAGGCATACAAGGACAGAGCAAAAGCAAGTCTGAAGAAACTCAACAAGAAACAGGAAATGCTTTGAGTTCTAATAGCAAAATTTTCAATTTAAGGAATACCACAATCCAAAAAGAAACTAAACAAACACAACAAACATCAACGAACACAAGTTTGGATACCCAAGGCAAAACTGAATCGACACAATCTCAAACAATTTTGGATGCTGAAGGCAATAAAATATTAGTAAAAGGCGCAGTAAACGAGCTGTTTAGAGGTGAGGCTGACTCCTCAAAGAATGTGCAGAAGCGATCCACTTTTAAGGCAAGCAAATGGAATGCCAAACGCCTTTTTATAGAAAAAAAATCGAAGAATGAGATGAAATCTCCTAAGGTGGAGAAAAGCTTTAAACCTATTTTCAAGCCTACTCAAAACAGGCTAGCGACGAAATCAATCATATTAATCAAATCTGTACTGGATAATTCCCAGAGTTCTATTAAAAGTAAGGAAGGGTTATCCAAAGCAAAAGTCTCTCAGGGCACAGCAAGTAACGATGGCGTATCGACCAAATCTGAGAATGAAACTAAATCTACTAAAGCTGAAAAGCCCCTCCTTAGGAGAAAGCCTTCTCCAGGCCAACTGGGGACAAAATCAAGTACATCAATCAGATCTGTAGGGAATACAAAGGATAATGCACAGAGTTCACTTAAAGATAAGCAAGTATCAATCTACGATGGCGTATCAACAAAATCTGAGAATGAAACTAAAACTATTAAAGCTGAACAAAATCTTAAGAAAGAGCTTAGTCAAGGTCCATTGAGCACGGTGCACAAGAGCAGCATAAAAGCTAAAGAAGGGTTAACAAAAAAAGGATCTCCTCAGAGTGCGTCAAGCAAAAAGAGCGCAACAACTAAATCTGGTACCAGTGCTAACATTGAGAAGTGGCTATCAAGAGCTAAGCAACTAAAGGATACCCAGGCAAGACGCTTTTGGAAGAAAAACAGTCCAGTAGATTTATTTCGAGAAGCCTTCAAGCCAAAAGATCCGTCTATTCAACCTAACAAAGAAACGAAGACCGACAGCCCAAACAGTCACAAGAACCCTACATCATCTTCATCGACAGCTATCAAGGATTCGTTTGAGTCGGTCGACCCCGACTCGTCTAATTTAGATAATAAAATCTCGGATGATACAATCAAGGCTAAGCAAATTGATTTAGTTGCATCAGGCAGTTCAGTTGTAAATAGTGGACAAACTCAATCAAAACACGTTTTTAGTCCAGATAGTATCAACGTAGATTTTAACGAAGATGGACTAAGCTTAAATAAGGCCGCTTCATGTCATCCAAAACCAGAAGCCATATATTACGGATTGAAATCCCCTGAGGACAACAAATCTTCTGAAAAAATTGACAATAAGAAAAACAACAACAATACCGTCGAATCGCTTCTTCTAAGCAACGCCAAGAGCCCATATAAGCCAAAGCCAAAGACATATAAACCTCGTCCGATCACAATTGGTGACATTATCGCAAAACTTAGGCAAAGAACTAAAAGCGAAAATATTAAGGCAAAGAACATTCAAAGTCTAACTGAAAGTGGAAAGTTTAGAGAAGAGTCGAAGCCTGGTAAAGGGAACCCTACCAAGTCATCTCTAACTGGGACGCCAACCGACGAATTCTCTAAAAATCCAGTAAGTGATAATACATGCGATCAATTATTCCCCAATTCGATAACAAGTAATACAATTGCTAGTAAAAGAGCAAATGAAACCCCTTTTGAATCTAGTGATATTGATCAGAGCTATTTGTGGCCACCGTCGCAATCGGTGGGAAATTCGGATATAGGAAACACTATAACATCTTACCCAAAAACGCAGTGCGTTGCTTCTGACGAGATCCAGATTCATAGCAGTTCAACGAATGCAGATGTAACTAGTTTAGGAAAATTTGTAAATGTTGACCAAAATGATATTTTAGACACAAGTAAAATTGTAAATAAGGAACCGACAAAGATAACCAATATGTCAACGGATGACTTCTCGCCAGATAAGCTATATAATTCCAAAACAGAAGGTGAATATCGCACCGCAGATATGTTAAGCGTTCAAGTGGAAGAGGAACCATTAAATTTAATGCCCGTCGACAAAACAAAGCTCGGTCCCAAAATAAAATTAGTGAAAAAGCTAGTAGATGACAAAAAAGTACAAAATGAGTCCGTACAACCGAAACCAAAGCCAAATCCAAAAGATAAAGAACATGTTGCAGGTATGTTAAATAATCGAGGAGAGAAGGGATTGGAATTGGAAAAGTCCAGATCAGACAAGGAAACAGAAAGTCAAGTAGAGGAGAAAATGGAATTGTTTGAGCATGTGAAAGATGAGAAAAAACAGATAGAGCTGTCTAGTCAACCAAAACGTAAACTGACGCTCACAGAATATCTATTTCAGTTTCTTAAAGGTCAACGGAATAGCAAAAACGAGCCTGGTCGTAGGAATATCACAACTTCGGCTGCTCAATGCCAGGACACAGATGCGGATAATTATCGTTTAAGTAAGCGTATAATGAAGAAATATAATGTTAAGCCCAAAAAATCAATTAAAACAGAGACTTTCATTTCGCCGGATGTGAAGAAGCATGGCATGGACTCCAGCATAACCCGTAGGCAACGCAAAAGTACGGAAGCTAATCCAACAAAGTTTCCTCGTGATAATCGGCCTAACATCGAAAAGCCGACGATACCAAAGGCCACCAGTATTACTTCCGATACTGATTGGAATGTGGCCCCAAACCCGAGCCCCGATGAAGTCTTAATGGGTTCTAAAAAGTCAGAATTAAATAAAAACTTAAATGATCGCAGTGTTGATGCGACAAACATGCCTGATGGCTCTCCGCTCAAATTCGAAGATAAAAGTCCAATTCATAAAGAAGATACAAAGAAGGAAACTAACAATATTGAAATTAAAGGTGGATCCAGATACTGCTTAATGAAATTGAAAGCCGTTAAGGGCATTGGAATAGACAACGAAAGTGGCAAGCGAAGATTCAGTGCCTTGGGTCGACAGCTGAGCCAGAACATAGGTAAGTATATATACACATATATTTGTATATATACATATAAACATGTATAGTTTGTAGACCTTAAACAGTTTATTATCAGATTAACACCATTAGTCACGCCCCCTTATTGGACATTCAATGTCATATCGAGGTGAATGACAGTTGCGTTATATAGATTACCAGAATAAACTAAACTATAAATATTTAATATACACACTCAGCTACACACATATTTGCTGTCAGTGATAATACACATACAGACTATAAGACATTAGGTAATTAGGTTATTTGTAAGTCAACATAATATCACTAACAATTATATTTTGTGGAAAGTTTTTGCTTTTTTCAGAACCGACAAAAATGCTAAGGACCGCTCTTAAATAATACCTTGCAACAATCAATGAAAAAAGTCATTAAATATACAAACGAAACACAAAGACGAAGTCAAGCCTCTAAGCAATATATACTATTTGAATATTTCACGTTTTATTGGCTTTTTTTCAATAAAATTAAAAAGAATAAATAATTTAATGAAGAATAAATCAGCTAGTGCTCTAAATTTATTTCTCTGCAATCGATCATTATCGACTAGATAAACTAGTTATATATTTACCACAATTTTGTAAATAGTGCTATAATAAAATTAACTAGAAACCGTATACCAATGAAAACTTTCAAAAAACATATTTCAAATACTAGGGACATGTAACATGTTCTTAAGCAAATGTACGCATTATCACGCCCTGTAAGTTTTATAAATTTACAAAAAAAAGCTAATAATCAAATTAAGCTCCCAAACTCATATGCTGTTTTTTGTGTAAGTAGAAAAAAATAGTTATGAATATATACTCATTAAATATATACTCACTGTAATCATTTCCTCTGAATATTTCCCGTAAGTATTTCCTCAACGTAATTTCTCTAAGTGCTTCTTAGTATTTCCTTTACGTTTTTCCCTTACGATTTTCCTTTACGTATTTCATTTACGAATTTCTTCAAAATATTTCTTCTAAGTATTTTCTTTACGTATTTTCATTATGTATTTCCTTTACGTTTTTCCTTTACGTGTTTCCTTCACGTTTTTCCTTTACGTTTTTCCTTTACGTATGCCCTTTACGAATTTTTTCTAAGTATTTCCTCCAAGTAATTTCTCTGAGATTTCCTCTAAGTATTTTCTTTACGTATTTCTTTTATGTTTTTTGCGTTACGTGTATCCTTTACGTTTTTCCATTACGTGATTCCTTTACGTATTTCTTTGACGTATTTCTTTTACGTATTTCCTTTGCGTATTTCCTCCAAGTCTTAAATGCTCACACGCTTCACTTTACATGACTGCACTGCACGAGTGACCCCGACTAGGCCTGGGCGACTGAAGAAATGTTCCTGCAACGGCCCTTTATATAGGCAACTTTCACTCAAAGTGGCCATGGCACTCAAAGTAGTTATGGGAACACTCTCTGCTGCTGCAAGTATTCTAGCTTCGCTTTACTCAAATATAAATACGAAATGAAAACGGCTGAATGCAAAGAGACGACTTAAATTAGCTGTAGCTCTTCTTCGGGAGACAGACAAATATACAGACAGAAAATCTAATTACCTCACTCCTCTGCTTAAGAGTATATGTATATGCTTGATAATGATATGATACTTATTTATGTAGACAGCATAGACAGCAGTTTCTACTGCTGTGTAGGATTAGGACTTTTGCATAGTCTGCCTCCTATATCATCCCATACTCATTATACACTGAGCCCTTTAAAAATGGAAAATCATGCTATATTGTACGACGTACTTCAATTTAAAGCTACCCACGAAATTCTAATCCCGCCGATTTGATTCTTTCTTTAAAATTTTATTTGGTTGTGCATTTATAAATTTCAGGGAATATCCTAGTCGGGCACCTCACTTAATTGAAATCAGGTTAAAATCATATTAATTATAACTTCAATCCAATTCAGTTCAGCAGCATTGCATATATTGCTCAGGATGTCTGCCGTACGAGACGTCTTTCTGCCTGACTTAAAGCATTGTAGACCTTTTAGCGATCAAGTTACCATATGAGATGTATATTAGTCCTTCGAATCTGAGTTTATCACATACAAATACTAAGAAGAATCAAAGCAGGCGCAACAGCGACTGTCACTTTAGGAATATTATTCCAATGAATTATATGTAGGGCACGCGTTAAAATTGTAAGTATTAAACCTGAACTAAACATGCTTGTACGCTCTGTTGTAAGCTGCATTTCGCAAGTGTTCGCGAGGTCTTTCACGTCCTCATTTGGCAATGGACTGATGCAAAAGATTGTAAGCTACCATATCCTCATTAGGCGTGTTGCTTGCGACCATAGGAATGACAATAATGGTAGGCAGATCTGAGGTATAGTACTCAACTTTCAGTTAGTATAACAATAAATACATTCAATTATTGTAGATGTCGCGCAAAATGAGACCAAACTTGCAATGGATAACCTCACGGCTGTTTTATACGGCATCGATGACATGCGCTTGGTACGACGCCTTGAGAAGCCAGAATAAAAATGGTTCTCTTACTTATTTTTTCCTTATTTTCATATACAGGAGCAACGGCCAATACCCGATATTTCCCCAGAAGGTAAATTTAAATTGTGATAGATTCATTCACCTACACCTTTCTTTTCCTACATACAAAAATTCATTAGAAGTTTTGATCGCAATGGATAGCGTCGGAATTTGTGGGTCAGATGTGCATTATTTGACTAAAGGTCGTATCGGCCACTTTGTGGTGACCAAGCCCATGGTAATCGGCCACGAAAGCGCAGGTGTGGTTGCCAAAGTGGGCAGCAAAGTTAAGAATCTGACTGTAGGAGACCGAGTTGCCATTGAGCCGGGAGTTCCTTGCTACAAATGCGATCATTGCAAGCAAGGCAGCTACAATCTGTGTCCCGATATGGTATTCTGTGCCACGCCCCCTTACGATGGTAACCTGACCCGATACTATAAGCACGCAGCGGACTTTTGCTTTAAGTTGCCTGATCATGTCACCATGGAGGAGGGTGCGTTACTAGAACCTCTATCCGTGGGAGTGCATGCCTGCAAACGTGCAGGCGTCAGCTTGGGATCGAGGGTGCTGATTCTAGGTGCAGGTCCTATTGGATTGGTTACACTGCTGGTGAGTGGTCTTCTTCAACTATTCATTTGCAGTTCACTTCATTGTGAGTGCTCTAGGTTGCTCAATCCATGGGTGCAACGGAAATTTTAATAACCGACCTGGTGCAACACCGTCTGGACATTGCTAAAGAGCTAGGCGCCACTCACACGCTGCTGCTGACGAGTGATGATACGGCTGAGCAGGTCGTGGACTGTGTACATCACACAATGTTTGAAGACCCCGACATATCGATTGATTGCTGTGGGGCAGAGAACAGCACACGCTTGGCGATCTTTGTATGACCCCAACTTATGTCTTTTATATGCATTTGGTCTATAACTACGTTCTTTGTTACGACAGGCTACACGAGCAGGAGGTGTTGTTGTTATTGTTGGCATGGGACTGCCTGAAATGAAGCTGCCCCTATTCAATGCCCTGGCTCGAGAGGTAGACATTCGCGGTGTCTTCCGTTACTGCAATGAGTGAGTGGAAACCTAAGTCTTTATCTAAATATACAGGCTAACAAGTTCTTTGTCATTGTAGCTATGCCGCTGCTTTGGCCCTGGTGGCTTCTGGAAGAGTGACTGTAAAGCGGCTTGTCACCCACCACTTTGATATTATGGAGACCCAAAAGGCATTCGAAACAGCTCATAGTGGCACGGGCGGTGTCATCAAAGTTATGATACATGTTCAACCTAGGAATACCAACAATCCTGTAAAATTTTAGATTGTAGTAAGCTCTGGGCTTAGAAAGTATGGGCTCTGAAAATATGTAGTACGTATAGTCAGAAAGAATAAATATTTTAGTTTGGTGCAAAATTTAACTTTGTTCTTAGAGTTCTTTATATCGGCACTTTACACTTGGAGAAAAATAGTTAAAGTGTCCAATATGCTGTACTGCCGGTTGTCCCAATCTCTTTTCACCAACTCATTCGTTAGGCTGGCTTCCTGCCGTTCATTGTTTTCTACGATTCGTTATTTACATGAAGATAGAACTGGTCCCGATTCTGAATTCAAAAAACTATTGCTACAACAAATGAAGAAGAATGCTGAACTGAAAACCGAAGCTGCTAAGGAAAAGCAAAAGACAGACTCCGCCATTTTATCTAAAGAGAAAAAGGTGAATCCCCCGACCACTATTGATATAACTGAGAACAGCAGAAATCTGTATGGTTCTGAGTTCCCAGTCAATGGGAGCCCAGCCTCTAAGGGTTCATTGGAATCCAACTCACCGACTGTAAGTCAATCTCAGAATAAGGACAGCAAGTTGAATTCGAATGTAAAAGCATTTGAAAAGAGGACGAAAAGGTTTGTCGAATCAGCCTTACGGAAAAGAAAAGGGTCTAAGCGTCAACTGCTGACGAATGAAAGAATGTCGAAGAAACTTAAAATAGAAGAAACTCAGACAAAATTGGAAAATAAAAGCTTAAAACTATCAAAAGAAGATAATGATAAAGTCAAAAACAAGCCTGTCGAACAAAGTAAAAGTGATGAAAGCTTAGGTGATGAAAAGTCTCATGCTGAAGCTAAAGCAGAACTTGCAAGAAGTATAATTGCGTTCAAAGCAGAACAGATGATTTCAAATGAAAAGAAAATCCTTAAGGAGCAGAGCAAAAGCAATCCAGAAGCAGATAAAACTTCAATTAATCTCTCGGGCAGTGAGAACAAAAGCAATGACAGGATAAAGCTGGGAAACCAAGGGAAATCTGAAAAAAATGTGAATCGTAAAACCGATAGAAACAGAACCAGCACAAGCAAAAATGGATTTGAGCGATTCATGACCAACATAAAAGACAAAAATCAACAAGCCCCAAAGCAATCCCAAACGCCTTCCGACTCGGTGAACATTAAATCATTTATGAAGAGCAGATTTCTTGAATACATTTCTAAAGCTAGAAGTAGGGCCATGCAAAGTAAATTAAAGCAACCCACTTCTCTAAAAGCTAGGAAGAATTCGAGTACAACAATCAAAACTGATTCAAACAAAAATGATCATTTACGAAGATCCATAGAAATTAAGGGAGGGTTACCCAAACCAAGAGCCAGTCAGAACGAGAGTGTATCTGAGAAAGGAACTGAATCAATTAAAATTGAAAAAATCAAAAATCCTACTCAAACCCAGTTTGAGACAAAGTCTAGCAGAGAAATCAATTCTAACTCGACTACAAATGATAATTCCAAGCAATTATCCAAAACAATCACCCTCCCAGGCACGATAAGCAACAAGGGCGTTTCAATCAAATCCGAAAGCGAAGAGCCTAAATTGGAAGTAGTTGAACGAGACTCTCTGAGAAATAAACCAACTCAAAATCAGTTTGAGACAAAGCCAAGTACAGCAACCAAAACTGAATTGGACACAAAGGATTTTTCTAATATCTCCAACAAACACAAGAAAGGGCTATCCAAATCAAAGACCCCTCAGAGTGCATCGAGCGGCAAGAGCGCAGCAACACCATCTGAGGCATTACAAAATACGTCCAGCTTCACTACTAAAATTGATGAAGAGCTAATCAAGGCTAAGAAATTGCAGAACTTGCAGTCAGCAAAGAAGGCTAAAGAGGCGAAATCCAAGAGCATCAAAACAAAACCAAATCCAACAAAACCAAACTCCCCATCAAGCCTATAGAAGACTGAGAGTACACAGCAGATACGAACCCAACGCCAGCTGATGTTGATAATTTGTTTGAGTCGCTAAGCCATGTACACTATTCTCCAGTTCCGATATAAAGCTCGTCTAATTAAACAATGATCGTTTTTAGTTTCTAAATTTTTGAATCGAAATGTAGTCATAAACTGTTGATGTCTATGAATCATATAAGTAATGCTTTGCATATTTATTACGTATTTCATAGCATTATGTTAAGAAAAATCTTAATATGATAGAAGAATCAATCTCATTTGCATTGGAATACTTCTTAGTAAAGCAGCAATGAAATTTTTAATTGACTCAAGTGATTTAATAAAAATTAATAATTCTCGATAACGAATATATATTTGAAAATTGTCTTCATAAAGCAAAGATTTTTAAATAATTAGTTAGTACCAAGGTATGAACTGTATGTTAATGCCTAGCTCTATAAAAATAAAAGTGAGCATGAACTAAACAGCTTTACGAGATTGGAATGCGCTATGGACATTAGCTTTGGTCTACTATATATTTGAGCTATTCAAGCAGCCTCTAACATGTTGGATCTTTAGTGAAACCATAAATTGTAATTTTCAGTTTTCTTTATATATGTATGTATGTATGTGTGTAAATATGACACATACAAATGATAGGCTACTTAGGCAGGCCAGGTAACGATTGTCATGATTGTGACAAAGTTGTTTAGCTCGGATAGATTATTATTGTTTGCTTGAGTTTAGTCTGGGCCAGACCTCAAAATTTCTAGTAAAAAGTCGAATTTCATTTTATAGCCCTGGCCAAAGATGTTTACGCGAACAGTTGTAAGCTGCAATCCGCAGGCATTAGCGAGGTCGTGCAACTCTTGCATGCAGCCCGTGATCACGTTCAGCAATTCTTTGTTTTGCAATGGACTCATGCAAAGGCTGGACAACTGTCAAATTACTACGCGTACAGTCGCCACTGACCAAACTGAAGACTCTATTGGTCGTAAGTTATATCAATTAGATTAATTGAGGCTTTCATTTCACGCACCTACACAACATACACACACACACACGCCCACAGGTAATCATAGCTCGAATGTTAAGGCCACAGGTCGAAGGCATAACGACAGTAAGGCTGCCCCGAAAGGCAAGCTACCGGTTCAAGGCAAACCCGCCACACGCAAATACAGGGTGTCTTGTCAACGCTTCTATAACGATGATTTTAGGCGGCGGGATGTTGGATCAATTTCACAAAGGCGAAGGGAATTGGTTGTTCGGCAGAGCAAGGAAATGCTGAACGAACTGGAAAACCTGAGAGTTCAGTGTGAAAGCTTGGTTCAACAGCACCCGAATGCCAATTTGGTCGAGCTGGAAGATTTGAATAGTGAGGCAAGAGCCATTGTCGAGATATGCAAAGAGCTGAATCAGCAACATGAGAGCAATAAAATGCCAGAGCGTATTAAAAATTCATCACATTCGGGAAATACAATTATCAAGCAAGATAAGCAGAAAAAGCAACAACACATTTTGAAAAGGCAATGCAAAGCTTTGGCCAAAACGAAGTCATTACAATGGAAAAACGCAGTTGCTAATGGAGAGGAGCAGCTTGAACAGAAGGTTAAGGAACTGGCCCAGTATAAAGAGTCTGGTCAATCGGCCAAACAGCAAACGCAATCGAAGAATAAAATCGACAGGAATATGGATGACATATTTGACCACCTTCATCAATTTAGGCTCGAAAAGGAGCAGTTCGTAAAGCAACATGAAGTTTTGAAAAGGCTTGAAGAGCTGAAGCATCAGTGTAGAAGTTTGGCATACATGGCAAAGGTGAAGCCCATGGGGGCGATTGGTACTACAGATCCAGATAATTTCAAACAGCAGTGTAGAGAGATGTCGCGTAAGGCAAATAATGCAAAAGATGAAACCAATAAGGATAAAGGTGGAAAATCAGATAAATCGAAAAAAGAAAAAGGAGACAAAAAGCAAGCCAAAGGTGAAACTCAACAAAAAGAAAAGGGAAATGCAAAGGAAAAGGGAGAAGGCAAAGAAGGGGAGGGAAAGAAGACCGACGAAATGGCTGAGTGTGAAAAAATGGCTAAAGAAGAAGAAGAAATGAAGTGCAAAGAGCAAGCCATGAGAGAAGAGTGCGCGATATTACTCGAAGAGGAAAAAGCAAGGAAAATTAAAGAAGCGAAGCAAAAGAAGAGCAGAGCATTTCAGAAAAAACTAGAGCGCGAAAACAAAAAGAGGCAAGAAAGAGAGAAAAAAAAGAAAGAGATGGACAAGAAATGTCAGGAGTTTGCCCAGGAAGAAGAGTGTGATAAATTAGCTAAGAAAGAAAAAGAACAGAAAGAAAATGAAGAGCTGGAAAATAAATGCAAAGAACTATCCGAAAAAGATCAGTGCAGTAAATCCGACAAAGGAAAAGATGAAAAGAAACAAGGCACGAAAGGTGCCAAGGCCGAAAAGGGAAAGAACGAGAAAGGAAAAGGCACAGATCAGAAAACAAAGACCGATACCAAAAAGAAACCAAACAAGATAATGGCCACCTTTGAAGAACTCAAGGAACATTGCCGAAATTTGGCTAAGATGGCGAAAGCTAATTGCAAGAAAGACACTCCTTGTAAAGTAGACCATATTGAAAAAGAATGCATGGAAAAGGGCCAAAAAGAACTGTGTGATAACGCAAATAAAAAGGAGAAGGGCCAGGAAAAGAAGGGCAAAGGTAAGGGAGAAGAAAAGAAAGGGAAAGAAGAACAGAAAGGCAAAGCTAAGACAGAAGAAAAGCAAGGTAAAGCTAAGGGAGAAGAAAAGAAAGACGCGGCCACGGCGAAAAAAGATAAGGGTCAGGAAAAGAAAGATTCGGGAAATAAATCAGCCCAACAAAAAGCTGATGCAGAGAGAAAGGCGAAACTAAAAAAATGCAAAGAGTTGGCTGAAAAAGATAAATGCGCCGCGTTAGCTAAACAGAAAAATAAAGGGAAAAATCTAAAGCAGAAATGCAAAGAGTTAGCACAAAAAGAACAGTGCGCTAAATTAGCTAAGAAAGAAAAGAAAAATAAAGGCGAAGACGAATGCGAAACAGAAAATAAGGACAAAGGCGCGGATCAAAAACTAGACAAAAAGGCGCGATGTGCCCAACTGGCAAAGAAACAAAGAGCCAAGAAAAAAGCATTGGCCGAAGAGAAACAATGTGCTGAATTGGCGAAAAAAGAAGAAGAGCAGAAAAAGGCGTTGGCCCAAAAGGAAGCATGGGCTAAATTGGCAAAGAAAGCAAAGGAGAAATGTAAAAAGTTGGCCGAAAAAGAACTATGCGCTAAATTGGCTGAAGAGGAGCAATGCGCTAGATTGGCAGAAGAAGAGAAATGCGCTAAACTGGCTGAAGAAGCAAAATGTGCTGAATTGGCAGAAGCAGAGAAATGCGCTAAGTTGGCAGAAGAAGCAAAATGCGCAAAATTGGCAGAACAAGAGAAATGCGCTAAATCGGAAGAGAAAGAAGAGGGAGAGGACAAGTCCAAAGATGGAAAAGGTGATAAAGATCTAGATGAAAGCTGTAAAAAATTGGCGGAGGAAGAACAATGTGCTAAATTAGCAGAGAAAGAAAAGAAGAATAAGAGCAAAGATGGAAAGGGTGATAAAGACCTAGATAAAAAGTGTAAGAAATTGGCAGAAGAAGAATGCGCTAAATTGGCAGAGAAAGAAAAGGGGAAGGACAAATCCAAAGAAGGAAACGGTGATAAAGGCCTAGATAAAAAGTGTAAAAAATTGGCAGAAGAGGCACAATGCGCTAAGTTGTCAAAAAAACAAAAAGAACAGGAAGGCAAGAGTGAAAAAGGAAAAGGTGATAAGGATATAGATAAACAGTGTAAAGAATTGGCGGAAAAAGAACAATGCGCTAAATCAGCAGAGAAAGAAAAGAAGAATAAGAGCAAGGATGGAAAGGGTGATAAAGACCTAGATAAACAGTGTAAAAAATTGGCGGAAAAAGAACAATGCGCTAAATTAGCAGAGAAAGAAAAGAAGAATAAGAGCAAGGATGGAAAGGGTGATAAAGACCTAGATAAACAGTGTAAAAAATTGGCGGAAAAAGAACAGTGCGCTAAATTGGCAGAAAAAGAGAAATGCGCTAAATTGGCAAAGAAAGAAAAGGAGGGCGAGAGTAAAAAAGGAAAAGGTGACAAAGATCTAGATAAAAAGTGTAAAGAATTGGCGTTAGAAGAACAATGCGCTAAATTGGCAAAGAATGCAAGGAAGGAAAAGAGTAAAAAGGGAAATGGTGACAAAAATCTAGATAAAAAATGTAAAAAATTGGCTGAAAAGGAACTATGCGCCAAACTAGCTAAAAAAGAAAAGGATGGCAAGGGCAAAAAAGGAAAGGGTGTCAAAAACCTTGAGAAAAAGTGTAAAGAATTAGCTAAGAAAGAAAAGAAAGCCTTCGAAAAGAAATGCAAAGAATTGGCAGAAAGAGAACAATGCGGTAAGCTCGCCAAAAAGGAAAAAGAACGAAAGCTAAAGGCACAATGCAAAGCAATGGCTGAAAAAGAAATGTCCGCCAAATTAGCTAAGAAAGGGAAATCTAGCAATAATAAACAAGCTAACAAAGACGAAGAATTTAAAGAAAAGTGCAAGGAACTGGCCGAGAAAGAAAAATGCAAAAAAATGGAACAGCAGTCAAATTTTGAAAAACTTAAGGAGCTTTGTAAGAAGTTGTCTGAACAGAAGAAATGTAGTGAAATTAAGAAAAAACAGGAGAAAAAGAGCCGAGACGATCGTAAAGCAGCTGGTATGAAATTACGAAAAGAGTGTCAAAGAATTGCCGCCCAAGAAAAGCCTGAAGATTCCTGAAAACAAGTGTCAGCCTGAAAACTTGTGTTAGCAGAAATCGTGTCGTATGCAGAGTATAGCAAACTTTTCAATAGCAATGAATACTATTGTTCAAGCCGCAAAAATTTCACTTTAACATGGAAATGTGTTTATAGAGATAAAGGAAATTTTTAGTGGTAAAATGTATAAGCAATAATATTTATCAAATAATTTGAAATTTAAAATTTATTCAAACTGCTCCCCTCTGTTCCACGCATTAAAATCAGATTCATGTATTTAACCCATTGGAACCAAAGTTATCAAATACATGAGCTGTAGTTTCTATATCAATTGTAATTCTCGCTTTATTTCGGAGGTTGACAAATTACAGATTATAGTGAATCTTCAATGTAAAAACGTAACCACGAGGCACTTGAGCTCCATACACGGTTTACGCGCGTTTTACACCTGCCTATGACAGTTTAAAGTCGATTAAAAAGATTAAAATATTGAAATGCGAAATGTACATGGTGTATAAAAACTATGACATAGGTATGTGCCTCTCGGAAAAAGTGTTTTCCAATTTCTCGAACCTAATAAACAGATAGCTAGAAACTATTAAGCGGATGTTGCCGATTAGCATAGCTTCTCCGTTTCAATTAGAAGTAAATATATATATAAAATATTCGATTTTCTAAATTTGAATGAATACGTTATGCCAATAAATAACGAATAGTAATAATGCAATAAATTGTCAACGATTTCGGAAACCAAATAATTCGCAATTCAAAATTTAGAGCCATCGATTATTTAACTGCTGTAGCTTACCACCAATAACCATGCATGATTACTAGTGTAACGACTAATATGCGATTTGCCGCGTTACATAACCATGGCACAAATCATGCATAATATCGAATTTATTATCGCAGGATATGATATCGAACATATAATTTACTGGCTATTTCATAAACTTTAATATTTGCTGCGATTCCTAACTTATTAGATTTACTTCTGTTGCCAACATATTTTATTTGTATAGTGCTCTATGGCGTTTAATATATCCCTTTGTTTTAAATATGAAACACATAAATAATTTAACAATCATTTTATTTTATCTATAAATCAATCAATGTGTGGGAATTACTGGCCAAATTAGAATTTATGGTAACGCTAGCGAGAAGTTTAATATAAATCTCTCACAGTGCTAGCGTTACCAATTGAACATTGCTGTGCTGTGCTTAGCAATTGGCATTAATTTTTAAACTATATACAAAGCGTTATCTTTGCAGATGCAACAGCTCTTATACTTTGTACAAGTAAGAATTAATATGCATTGCTTTGTTACAATACAATTATCAGTAAGTTAAACTTAATTGTATGTCTAGTCCCAGCAAGACTCAATGTTCGTTGTACAGTAATAAATGCTTGTGTAGACATACGCAATGTATATACACAATGAAGGATCCGTTGACCAGTAAAAGCTATTCGCGATTTACACTACATCTTAGTCCACTTTTAAAACTAAACAAATTTTGAATGCTCGTCAACAGACAGATCCAGCTTATCCAACTCACAGTTTGTCGGCAGTTAGTGTTAGCGGTGGTTTAGAGGCTTCCGAAGCCCCACTTATTGATTTATGGTCGGCACGCTCCTGCTCCGACAACCAGGCCATCTGCAAGCAATTCAATATTTTATATGTTTGACCACTTTTAGGAAGCGGTTCCAACTCACTTTCTGCTTGTGTTGCTGTACAGCATCTCGACATCTATCGAGAACCATTTTTTCTGTCAGTGTGCCATCCTCCGAGGCATATACAGCAGCCTGCCAAGCAACGCCCAATTTAGATATTTCACGACCCGACATGCCCTCGCACATCTGTGCCATCTTAACGCATGTCTTGCCATAGTCAAAGGTATCAAGCTTAAAGCGTCTGTAAAATGTTGGTTAGCAACTAATTGGCCGTTAATATACAATCTTTACTTACTTCGCTCCAGCGGCTGCTGGCTGTAGTACATATTTGTCAAAATAGAGCCGCAGTAAGCGTTCTCGTTCCTCAAGACCAGGCAACGTAAACTCCACCATCTCGTCCAGACGGTCGTTGATTGCATAATCAAACTGCTCTGGCGTATTCGAGGCCAGCACAAGCATAAATTTTGGATTCTGTTCGGAAGTTCTATACAAGAAAGCATTCAATGCAGCACGCAAATCTTCAGAAATTTTCTCCGACGAGCGTTTGCGGAGAAAGGCATCCGCTTCGTCAACAAACAGCAAAAGGCCCCGCCTCGAGGTATTCGACCAGTCGAATACCTTATGTATGGCTGTGACACCTTCTTTGCCCATGGGCGCCACATCACCACCGGTCATGATAGCGAAATCCATGCCAGAGTGTTCGGCTAGTTTTTTGGCAAACATTGTTTTGCCAGTTCCAGGTGGTCCGTGCATCAACACGTTGCGATAGAATCCGCGATTGATTCGCGTGTTTTTCGTAGCGATCGCAATATCGCGCAAACGTTCTTCTAGTTTCGGATTCAGCACAACGCCTTGCAGGGCATCCGTGGGCTTCGATCGCAACCGTTTCATATACTTCACTGGATGCTTTATGGCATCCAGAAATGCAAAACGCGAGGTTTCACCCACAAGCGTTGGTTTTCCAATGCGTGCTTCAATGTAACGCGATACCACGCCCGTAGCACCCTTCGCACTGTACACTCCCAGTGCAAGAAGCGACAATCCACCAGCAGCCGTCAAGACCTTATCCCAGTCGGTCAACATCGCCTCCGCACCAGCACCAATCACTGAACCAGCGGTGCTAATAATAATTAGCATTATTTTTTGAAACTTACATATATTATTTTTCCACTAAGAACTTACCGTATACCCTCCAGCACTGTGGTACGATGTTCTTGTGCCTTTAGGCGAATCTTCTCAAGATTGATATCCCGATTCTCGCGATCCACTCGAGCCTTGGCTCGCAGCTCATGCTCAAGTAGCTTCAGACGATTCTTTTCCTTCATCTCAATTTCATGTTCAATCGTCTGACGCCGCATGGCTTCCTGACGCTGCACGCTCTCCTCCTGTTTGCGAAGATTCTCCTCTTGCACGCGCTGTTGTTGCACCAACTGATCTTCATAACGCTTGCGCGACAATTGATCTTGGTATTGTGCACGTTGCTGCTGCTGCTTGGTCTCCTCAATGAGAGTCTTGCGCCGCTCCTCGTGGTCAATGCGTTTCTGCTCAACTTTGGCCTGCTCAATATGAGCCTCATATTCCTTTACCTTGGTGGCATACTCCTGTTGTCGCGTGCTCTCCTGCATCTTGGACAATTCCAGTGCCTCCCGCGCATGTCCTGAAACATGTCATATAATCGTTAATACCCACACTCATGCACACATCTGCTTCAATCAACATTGCCATCGGTTATGCAATGCGTGCAACCGATGATGAAATTTTTGAATGAATGTATGTTTACTAGACTCTTACTTGAACGCTCGAGTGTTTTCGCTGCGTCTGCCGCACGTTCCAGTGCCGAGGAATCGAACCGATAAGCCTCCATGGCCTTGCGTTCCGCTTTCGTAAGTTGCGAGTCATTACCACGTTCGCCGGCAGTTTGACCCTCTGGTTTGTCAGGTCCATCTGCTCCACCACTAAAGTCCGTCGGTTGCTGACGATTTCTACCCAATAACCATGACATGTTGCTATGTTATTCGTGTTTACTATGTTGACACCCACTCAAAACGTAATTTTGTCACAATATAAGCACGAAATATACTAAAAATAAATTGTACGAGCTTTTTTTCAAACCCACATTCGACAACGTGATTCTAGTAGTGATGTAAGAACCACATCGATATACAATTTTACTGATAGCTTATACGATGTATCGATTAACCGTGATAAATGGTTAAATAATTCACCCTAGACAATGAAAATCATGTTCATAAATCATTTGTATGAATTAAAGTATCATTTGTGTATGTTTATTTCAATGATATGTATATTTATTTGCTAAGTTTGAATGACGTATAATATATGAATATATTTGATATGCTAAATTCATAGGTTACTTGACCCTTCATGATTGTTCAAGAATTATCGTTTTCATATACATACTTTTTGAAGGGTATATGGTGATTTATTTGGCGTTTTTTTGGGAAACTGAAAACGTTCGTTATCGTCGTTACTTAGTTGCGTGATCGAAAATGTAGCACATCACTATCGCAACACCTGTTGTCAACAAACATATTTCAGTTTTAGCTTTAGTTCGCAAAAATTGCAATTTTTAAATTAAGCCTACAATCATGTTTGAGCGTAACCAGAAAACAATATTTGTATTGGACCACACTCGCTATTTTAGCATTTCTAGTGAGCAATATATATCAATGGACTATCTAAAAGGCAAGCCGGTCGCCGAGTCACCAGGCAGTGGTAGCTCGATAGTTGGGACTCAACTAAGTAAAAGCTTATGGACGTGTGCTGTCGAATCATCCATAGAGTATTGTCGCATAGTTTGGGATCTGTTTCCTGGAAAAAAGCATGTGCGCTTTATTGTTTCTGATACGGCGGCGCATATAGTAAACACCTGGAGTCCGAGCACGCAAAATATGTCGCATGTCTCTAACGCCATGATGATGGTAAGCGTGCCATCACGCAGTATTCCGCAATCATCAGACTATTCGGTCATACATGGATTGCGAGCTGCCATCGAGGCGTTGGCCGAGCCGACAGATGAACAACTCCAAGCGGCTCATGCCGGCTGCAAACGAATTGGTAACAAGGGCCGTGTCATTTGCATCACATCAGCGCGGGATAATACTAGCATGAAAAGTAAGTAGAATCAACTGGAAATTTATTGAACAAAATGACTTTATCCGATTGTTTTTCCATAGGCTTAGAGGATATATTTAATACGGTACTAATACAACAAAATGCGTTGGTTGCACCACCTTCCAAAAAAGGTTTGCAGATCGATCATTGCCATCTAGTAATACTGAACATCGTACCATTGGGGGTGGAATCCCTGGTGACAAATCGAAGTCTGCTCGAAATATCTCCGTTTCTTAATGCTGAGATACATACAGTCAATGCACCGGAAATTTCGGATAAGCTATTGCATCTTATAATGGGTCATTACGATCTGGCGAGCACCACCGTGACCAACATACCCATGAAAGAGGAGCAGAATGCCAATTCCAGCGCTAATTATGACGTAGAAATATTGCACGAACGTGCCGCCCATACAAAAGTGTGTGGGCCAGATTTTACTTTCACTACCAGCATCAAGCCGGGAACTGCCTACGAAACAGTTACCCTGAAATGGTGTACGCCGCGTGGCTGCGGTTCTGCGGATCTACAACCGTGTGTGGGGCAGTATAACGTTACGCCCGTCGATGTCACCTCACGGCCCAGCTCCTGTTTAATCAACTTTCTGTTAAACGGTCGCTCTGTACTCTTGGAGGTGCCTCGGAAATCGGGCACGAAGACAACCAGTCACATGCTGTCCGCACGTGGCGGTGAAATCTTTGTGCACTCCCTTTCGATTGCACGCTCCGCCATGGATGAGGCGCCATCAATAACCGACGGACCCGGCGGACGTGTTCCCGACTACCGCATACCAGAAATGGGCCAACTGCTGAAGATGTCGCGCTTGGTGCCCCTAAAGACTAGGCCCAAGGGCAAATGCTCTCAAGGAGAACATCTATGGAGGCGAATGCCGCGATACTTTCCCAGAACAGCCAATGCAACAATTCTGTTCAATTTGCAGCGACAGCTGAGCTGGCTGCCACACTTTCTGCATTTGCTAGTTAAGGAGGATATGGACAAGCAGGACGAGGTGCGCTGCCAACAGCAGATCCACGAGCTATACAAAAGCGCATCTCGCGGTGACTTGCTGCCTTTTAGCAATTCAAATAACGCACGGTACGTAATTGAATGAGATGTAAATTTAAAAATATATGCTTAAAAATTACATTCAACTATCTGCACTCGTTCAGCCTAAAGGTAAACAAAACCAAGGACCAGTACAGACTATTCTATAGAGAGCTGGAGCAACTGATTCAGCTTAACGCACATACGCCGCATCACAAGAATCTACTGGAAAGTCTACAAAGTCTGCGCGCGGCCTATGGAGATGCCTCCAACAAGTCGGACCCAAGTGCTGCTCACTTGCGCTCCTATACTGAATCGCCCCTCTCACCCGAACGCCTTGAGCCGACCAACAGTGTCAACAGTTCGTCCAGCAGCATACTAAAAGCCAGCAAGCGACGCATGTCGGGCTGTGGACAACGGTATGTTCTCGGATAGTAGAGATAGTGATTAATTTGTAAATGACATTTTCTATCAAATCTCTTGCAGGTCGTTGCTCGACATAATCAGTTCAGCGGAACGGAGTCAATCGAGCAAACGCTTGGATTTTTCTGGACGGCTTTGTACGCCGTTAGGCCAAACGGCCAAATTGTATCCTGAATTTGGAAATAAGGATAAAGAAATCCTAACCCCTGGCGTTATTCCATCAAGTTTAAAGGACGAATCAATCCGAAGCTGAGTGGGCAACGGTAAATTAGACTAGGCAACTAAATGCTAGCAGATTCAATGTCTAAACCTATCTCAACTGATTTTTTTTCTACAATTATCATTCTGTGTGTTTTCCATAAGGTATGCTTTTTCTCTAAGCACTCTGTTAGGTTTATGTAATCATTTGTAGGTAGATTAAGCAGGAATATTTATATAAACAGAAGATTTTAAATTTATCGTGTTGTTTCTTTTAAAATACAAAATTATTCAGTTACTAAGAATGGCCAATAATCACACAGTCACGAGACTCCTTCAAGTACATGAGGAGGCAGCGCCAGCAGTGCACAGTGAGCGTTGCATTAGTTCCTCCCCAGCGAATTGGCTCAATTGATCTGTTTTTCCTTTGCAGTACCCATTCTGGTGGGTAATGAAGTGTTTGTGGTTGTACAGCAGGACATCAGGCGGACGGAGGACATACGTAAATTGAGCTACACTCAAGTGCTTCCCAATCCACCCAATCATCCCTTTCTGCCCATTTTCAATCAACTTAATGCTAATGCTTTTGGCAGTAGCGCACCAGTTACTCAGCTTTCCGCACTGCAAGCATTACTTTTGGCCGGCCAGGCACAGAATGCTTCCACTTTTCCAACTAGTCCACCTTGTCCGGACATTGAAATGGAATCAAACCCCACGAAAACAGTGGCTGACGTGTCTAACCAACTGCATTGGTCCAAACAGCCCAAGTGCACTTCACCTTATCCGATCAATTACAGCACTTCAACATCGACCAGTGGACTCCTAGACTTCAAGCCGATCAAACGCAGCCAGAGGCGGAGTGCAGATAAAAGAGATGGTAGTTGCCAAACGTGGACAAAGTCCACTGCAACGGACGCAGGGTCACAAACCACTCCGCAGCCAACTACCACGGTGGAAGTAAACAATGTAAAAAAAACTCAATCCAGTGGATGCCTGCCGTCCAGCCCCAACACACAACTGAAGGAGAAAACATCGGAGAAATCTCTGTCCAAGCGACGCAGCTTATGCAAAGTCATGTTCAAATCCAAAACGCAAATACCTAAGGAGACCTCCAAAGAGACGAAGGAAAAAGACCTCAAATTGAAAGAGGTTCTGGACAAGGACAAGACGAAGGTGAAGGATACGAAATAACAATCGTATAACATCAGCGTTGGCCACACGAAACAAGGTTTTAGATTTTAGAATTTGGCCTTATCTGAATTTTATGTCTTGTAAGTAGTTTAACTCTAGTATTTACATATTAACATAAAGCACTTAGTGATTTGCTCTTCTTCAAGCGTTTCTTTAGATCAGTTGGCTTAGTTACGGTCCCCTTTTTCTTCTTCTTCTTTTGCGGCTTGTCGACATCCGGCTCACTCTGGTCATCGAAATAACGCTTGGGCTTGTTGTGACTGCGCTGCTCACGCTTCAATTGTTCTGGCGTGCAGATGCGCAGATAAAAGTCCTTCAGCAGCAACTTGAAATCCTCGACCAACGTATCCCTCACCACTTGGACTTTCCCTACAGAGCAGGGCGTGCATGCTTGCAGCTCATTCACCTTGAACGGTTTGGGTGCAAATTCAGAGGCAGGTCGCCACACAATGGCCAGCTCTTTGCCGCCATGAGGATTATAAAAGAAGGCAGCGTATTCGGAATAAGCAGACTGAAAGAGAACAAATAAAATATTGCTTAAGAAAGGTTGTTTCTAATTGAATGATTTTCACTGCAACTTACCCTCAGCTGCTGCACAATCTTGGCCAGTTGGTCAATGCCCGCCAGCGGCAAGCGGAAGTTGCGTTGACTGAATGGTAAAAATGGCGAGCCGAGATCGTAGCAGAGCGTATTGGGCAGCAGATCTGGCTTCAATTCGATGACCAAATCATAACCCTCTCCGGACGCTATAAATAATTGGGCGGGCCGCACAAATCCAAGGCTGGGCGACAACAGACTCGACTCGATCAGCTGCAGTGCGTGTCGTGCCAAGAGAGTGACTCGCCCCAAAACTGGCTTGCTGGGGCAGTCATCAGTGGTCCACAGACGACCAGCATGCTGCTGGTCGTAGGCCGTGGCCAGGCACAAAGCCGGATAGCTGTCGCGTTCGCTGCGATAGCTATGTTCCAAGTCCGTAATCTGTTGCTCTGCAAAAGTACGAATAGTATGAGAAGTGGATGATAGAATGGACGCAGGCTATCCTTACCTGTCCAGCTATTGTTGAAATTGAGCAGGAACAGTTCGCTGGCCCAGTCGCTGTGCGCCAGTAGTTGCAGGAAGCGAATGAAGCCAGTCTGTGGGGCGACAGTTGTGTGCGGCATTTGTCGCTGCTGGAACAGATGTGCCACCAGCAGCTCCGTTGCTATGGATGGCCACAGACCGTCGTCGATCATCTGCGTGGCCAGCCAGCGCTTGGCAATGAGTACCGTGGGTCCGAATGTGCTGTGTGACTGATGCAGCGCGTGCAGCGCGCCACTGACTCGGGGCAGTATATAGTGACGTCGCTCGATCTCGCGGCTGGCCGCATTATCCACGTATGCAGTTACGCCACGTTCCGTTTGCTGCTGTTTCAGCAGCGCCACCTCTTTGGTGTGCGCAAGTTCCAGGAGAAAGCAGTAGCCTTGTTTGAGCACCAACAAGCCCTCTTTGCAGAGCTGGGTGTGAAGGTGTTGCTGCTCCTTTAGCTGCTTGCCAATTTGTATTAGGAAGGCGGTCTTCAGGCTGCGCAGTGCGCCCAACTCATTGGGCCACTTACCGCTCGGCCCCAGCTGAATGATCACACGCAGCACGTGGCCTGCATGCATGCGGTCTGCCACGAGACGCGCTTGCGGCAACAGAGGCTGCGGCTCACAATAGCGAAAGACTGGCGAAATACCAGATATTGAGACTATATCCAGCGGCAGATCCCCGAGGGTGTGCAGCTGCCGGGCCAGTGCGTCGTAGCAGTGGATGACGAGCGGTGTCACTGCCTCGGCGTCGGTTTCCTGCTCCAATTTCAGCTTGGTTTGCAGCTTGGCCACTTTAAATGAAGACGTCAGAGAATAGATAATGTCTAGCTCGCCAGCAATGTAGTGCACGTCGCTTTGCTCCAGCTGCAGATGCTGCTCCAGCAGATGCAACACTATCTGTCGCACTATCAAGCGCTTTTTGCTGGGGGCATCTGTGACGGCAGCCCAGACTACTGCCTCCGTTATGCTGCCGTCCTGGAAGCGTCGCAAATTAGACTTCTCGCCCCAAAATTTGCGAAATTCAGCAGCACCCTCGGCATCCTCGTTGGTCGCTGGTCCCTTGTCCAACACTTCGAATGCGTGCTCAGGATCGAGTATTAAGCCTAACGTCAAGGAGCGACCAATAATCGGAGCTTTTGTATCCACGGTCCAGGATTTGGAAGCTGTTTCCAATGGCAGAATCGCATGGACACGTTTTCCTAAACCCTTCTGTAGTAAGCTATGAACGAATATGTTTAGGTTTCTATTAACATTTGCAAATAACATAATTTTACTCACTCTGTTAGCAATTTAAGCAACTGCGGATGCGCATAGTTGGCGTAATCGTATTTGACCTGCGGCTGAACATGCAACTCAAGAAGCTGGTCCACGGTGGCGGGATTCGTAATCCTTTGCAATGAAAAGTATGAGAAATAGTGTTTAGCTTTTTGATAATGCGGCAAATATATCTCTTCTTATATTGTTATATGTCCTTATTTCTCCTTTTCAATGAATGAAAGGTATAACTTTTTAAACTATTATAGATAGTAGAGTTCAGCTGGATAATCGAATTCCTTACTTGAGTATGTTATCCATTCTAGTGTACAATGGAGATGCCTGCATGAAAATTTGCGAAAAGCTATTAACTCTCACATCATTTAGCAGCTCAACGGCCAATTTAGCCTCGGCACAAACCGCTTTGTAGACAGAGAGCGGGAGATTAGCGCATATGTTGTAATAGCCAGTGACGTCCATGAAGCACACATCGTAGTAGCCGGCCAAGGTGCTCAGCTGGTGTGGCTGTTGCGGGCATAGGGTAATGCCTTGCGTCCAGTCGCTGTTGGCCAGCTGGTTCCATACGGTGCGAGCTACCTGATAGCTGCTACTCGACTGATGCAGCAAACGGTTTTGCTTCAGGTACACAATGTAGGCTGCTAGGATGTGAGCACTGAATCCGCTGAAGCCGACATCCAGCTGGCGTTGGCGTAGCCACACCTTAAGCAACAGCAAACCCTCCTGGAAGTTTCGGTGGCCTGAGAATGTGCTCAGCAACAGCTTTTGATTCTCAGCTAGCGTTAAATCGAAGAGCACATTGGCATTGTAGTGCTGGGTGGAGGGCAACGTTTCCGACTCATCCCACTTGTCCCCAAAGAATGATGGCCGAACATTGTTATTCCAAGGCACGAAGCGGCTAAGCTTGAAGATGGCCTTCGGCGCTGTGATATACAGGCGCAACGACAAATGTTTGCCTATCTTGCCTGTGGGTGTTAGTTCAAGCACTGGCTTTAGTGGATTATTTGCATGGTAGTTGTAAGCGAAGTGATCCGCTGCGCAGGCCGGTAGCTCCTTCAATTTGCTGGCCACCGTCGCGAGGTATAGGGCGCGCTTTTGATCGAAGATTAGATTACGATAGTCCTCCTTCTGAAAGCACTTTTCGGGCATTTCCAAAGCCACATCGACTACAAGTTTTGGACCCAGCAATGTACCTATGGCCGCAGCGCCAATCAACTTTGGCTCTGCAGTTGGAGTTAGAAATTGAAAATTAAATAGTTTCTTGTGCAAATGTAGCGGCACTTCCAGTTGGCAGTTATCGAGCAATCCATCTTGGAACTCATGCACCGCAGTCGTAAACGTCTCCAGCCAGTTTTCAATGTAGTTACTGTATTTGGGTTTGAGTTGGAGCTCCTCCAACATCTCTTTAACCTGCAGTTTGAACAGATTAGAGTGAAAGAGATTACGGGTGTCGCGTATCTCCTTTATTTCTTCTAAAGTTGGCGGCTTCACGTTCGCTTCTGGGTGCTTAAATTTCTTTTTTTTCGCATCACTATTGCCGCAAGGGAGTTTACGTTTCGGTGCCGTTATTTCCTTTGGTTCGTCGAAGCCATCGTCGCTGCTAGTGACAGCGGCAGCAGCTTGATCGGAGTAGGCTTTGGAATCCCTCAATAAAGTCTGTGGTAGGAAATGACATAAGATTTGCGCAGGTACTTAACATTTGATTTTACCTTCTTCTTTGATTGATTTTCTTTAATTCGGCCCATTGTGTTTCTTAGATACAATCAACTGAAATAGTTTAAGAGCGTCCACAACAATTGCACGTGCTATTTGGTTTTGGCTTTAAAATTACGGCAAAAATTGCGCTTTTTTGTATCAAACTTATCGATAAATACGTGATTTGAAATAGTATTTTCATACATTCAAATTTAATTTTCTCATTTTAATGATTTTATATGTTATTGAATATATAAACCTCTTAAATGGCCAATAACGGAAATATATAGCCATTATGCATTATGCCATGATGACCATCACATTTTAATTAAATGCATACAATGTATTTAGTATAATTGTAAACATTTTCAACTCTTGATAAACGACTTTACATTTTAAAAGTGAAATTTGACACATAGCAAGTAACACATTTCATAAAGAGATTTTTAGTTCACATTAACAATTTTTAATTTTATTGTTTTTTTTTTTTTTTTTTTTTTTTTTACAAAGTTACAAAGTTTTACAAAAAAAAAAAAAAAAAAACATTTTATTGTTGTTTTCTGAGTTTACCAATCGAATATGTTGCTATCGATGAAAAGCGGTGGCATGCCATTATCGATACTTTTCCGATATAGCCCTAATGTCACACAACAAAATACCAAAGTCGGTCACTCTGCTGAGGAGTAGTGCAAAGCAGAGTTATTGCACCTGTATAGAAAATATTATCAGTTTTCTGCTTATATTTGGATATTGTGCTGTATTTATTAACTGTAATTAAGGAGTTACAGTGATAAATTCCCTTTTTGAAATAAATTTTGATTGCGTCAGTGTATGGTGCACATACAGATGTTACCTTAAACAACACTTGTATGACAAGACCATGATAGGGCTTAAAACAAAAAGTGGCGTGAACTAAATTAAAAGTATTTCAACGCGCTTTACTAAAGCTCGTCGAGTGTTTTAAATAGTTTTCCCATGTCAAAACAAAGGCCGGCTGATGATTTTTATGTATTGGCTAGTATATTTAGTATAGTTTTTGCCAAATGCTTTTGGATTTTTTACAACCTAGTATTTTGGCATTATTTATGCACGGTCACATTGCAAAGTAGTGTTTAACTTGTGTGTGTGTGTGCAAGGCAGGGGAAAAAGTCGCTCCATTTTTCTCGTGCTCTCTTGCGTACGTTTGGCTTTGCTATACAATTAGATGGCGAATCGTATAAATATTAAAATAGTGTTTGCCTGACTTTTATGTAGGAAGCAAACACACAAATCCACAAAAACGCGCCGCATAATAAGTGTAAAATCGCATACATATACCCGACTATAGAAATTGGCCAATCGCTGGTCTGCGTGTGTGTGTGTAACTGTGTATGTGCGCGCGTGTGTGTAAGTGAGCAATGAAAAATGAGGCGTAGGTGAGGAATATGTGTGCAAAATTGTCGAAAAGGTACATAAAAAGTACAAATCTAGCAGTAAGTTAAACTTTATGACCGTGTGTTACAAAAAATCAGCCACGACATAATGTAAATGACGCGTTGGCAATTAAAAAATATGCCAAAATTCAAACAGTTAACATTTGTGCACCCTGTAGTTTTGCGGTCGTTGGTGAGAAGCTTTTGCGTGCCGAAAGCATTCAAAAAAGCAATGAAATAAAAAACCACGTACAAATAAAGTTTTAAATTTGTGTGGCCTTGTTGTTTATGAAAAGAACAAAAATAAAAAAAAAAACCATGAACCATTTCTCCTCAGTTCGACCATATATTTATGTGCGACCGAATGTCTATGCACTAATTGGCCTGATTCTTGAGACACTTCCTTAACATTGTATACTGCAGCGATGTGCACGGTATACATATGTGTTGTCCGATTGGGTTATATTTGACCTTCATTGAGGGATCAGTTAATTCATGGACTAGATAACTGTGATGGTTAAGAACACTTACATTATTCTTAAGCCAGCATAAGCGCCTGAAAATCAATGGGCAAATGTATGCGGCAGGCACTCTCTCAACTTTAGTGTGACCGCACCTAATAAAGTGAATATACCACAATATACTGTTTGTGAGGTGGATTTTCGCACTCTTAAAATGTATAACTATGATTAAATTATAATAGTTGCTTAACTTTGTTTAAAGATGAATTAGACAGACTATTAAGGGAATGGAATTGACCTAATACTAAATTTTAATGAAATAAATATATTTATATATATTTATGTTGTTAATCAGAAATGAATGCAGTTTTTTTTATTACACTTTATGTATTATTATTTTCTTATAATTACAGCCTGTTATGACATGCTAATCGCAGGGTCGGCCATAAGGTGTACATTCAACAGCGCTACCATCCCACAAAAAGAGGCAAATAAACATATTTTCAATGTGCGCGCGCCAAATGACAGCTGACGATCGGTTAAATAGAATTCGACTATAAGTTAAACAAGAAAGAAAAGATCAAGATCAGATAAATTAAACAAGAAACTATTGTTGTTAGTTGTCGTAGGCGTGTACGTCAACCATAATTTACAAAAATTGTTAGAAATTTGTGGGGAAAATGTGCAAAAGTGTGTTTTTTAAATTGTTAGCCAAAATTATTTGTTTACCTAGTACTACATAGAACGTAACTGCCTTTCTTTATCCAACAAGAGCAACAATAATAACAAAGATATTTCGACGCACCGGACAAGCGAGCGAGCACTTAAATTAAGATAAACAGTAAATATATAATACAGCTGCATTCAACAATAGCCAACAACAACAACAATATTTAACAAATAACAAATCACCAAGGAAATGCTCAAATTGAATACCTAAATGTCAAGCGACAGCAGCACTGATGCGACAGCAACAAATAACAACAACAGATCAACAAAAGCAACTGTAAGCTAACAGAAGAACAACAGAAGGGAGCAGTAGTAGGGTAGTTGCGAACTTGTGTCTAGAGAAGAGAGTGGAGCGAAAGAGAGAGGTAGAGAGTGGCGACTGAAGAGTGTATTGCAACAGATCAACAGAGCAATTGGCTTGCCGTATGCATTGGACGCATGCGCGGCATGCGTGGATGTTAAGTGAGTGTGTGTGCGTGTGCCAGTGTGTGCGTGCGTGCGTGTGTATGTGTGCACGCACAACATAGCGGCAGCAGCAACAGCGGCAGCAACAAAAACTAACATCTAAAACAACAACCGATCAACAATAAAGTCCACACATTCAACAGTTTGAACGGAAAATTTGGAACAGCAATTTCGCATTTCTACAACGTTTTGGATCAATCTTATCAACAATCATTAGCTGTTGCTATTAGTTTCGTATATATATATTTATTTATATATATTATCTTTGGAAATTCTGTGGAAAGTGATTGAAGGAAACTTGCAACTGCTACAACAACAACAGCAACAACGTCAACATCAACAAGAACAGCAGCAATAATTATAATAATAATTACAGTATGCAGCGACGCGAACGACAAGCGAGGTGAGCTTTAAATCTAATTCATTTCATCAAATACCTATTCCATCGATCAGCTATACAAATACCCTACCCCTCCGACTAACAGATTTGATTTCATTCAGCGTTGGCTAAACGTGCTTGTTAGGACATTGCGTCAGTGGTATGCAAAGCTCACGCAAATCCCTCTTGCTTTAAATCTTCGAAAATCGTGCGTAGATTTCCCATTTTTCATTTATTCATTTCACATTTATTCAATTCGTTTTGACACAACACTCCAACAACAACAAACTATTCCTAACTAAATTATTCGTTCAAATGATTTAAGAATACTTTCGTTGGTTCACTGATACTTAAAACTGAATACGTATTTCTAGAAAATATGAAAACAAGTCAGTAAATCAATTAATTTTTATTAACAAACCAAGGAGCATTGCCAAGTACGATCATGAGCAATATTTTGTCAACCTCTTGCCTGTTATCTCGAAACTCAAGTAACGCGAAAAAGCGTACATTATAATGATTTATATATGTCTGTACAATTCAATGCGTTGTCGTTATCAGGGTGGACGCTACAGGCGCTGAGAAAGTTGAAAATAACTTGAAATGTTTGGCGATTAGATAATTCAGAAAGAAAGTCGACACTGAATATGCCCTTTATATATGGGATATTTAAACAAACAAGTTGTATATGTGATATAGACTTTGATCAACCAGTACTGGGAATATAGATTAGAAATCTGTTTTTTTAAACAAAAGTTTTCTGTTTATTATTAATGTTTTTCGTTATTTGAAATAAAACGAAGATCAGACTTCAATATAAATATGTTAAATGACCACGGTAGTGTATTATAGCCATAGGACTACTAGATAACTCTGATAATTATCGAAGGCGTCTAGAAAGATTGCTTGGGCCGGAAAAGAAAGATAGCAGATATATGGTAGATGAATATAGACTCGCAGATACTGGATATACATATATGTATATAGGTAGTAATAGTAATAGTAATAGTAATACTAATAGAGAAATATATTGTATATAGTAGAGTATGTAAATCTGCGGAGTTATATTGCAGTTATTATTAATCAATTTATAGAAAGTTTGCATATTTCATTAACGAATTCGCTTCGGCTAACAATCAAATATATATTTTAATAATTTGTGTGTCGGATTTACAATAGATATTTCACACCACTATGAAAAGAATATAATTATGATAAAAGCAAGGGAACTAGAACAGAAATTTTATAATCATAAATATGAATTGATTACGAATTGAAATGCTGCCAAAAACAACATCAGCAAGCGAAAATTGGCGATCGATTATAATAATAATTCTAATAATAGAAGAAACTCTATTTATAAATGTTTGGCAATCCGTGACGTCGTTCTAGTTAGGGAAATTAGCTTACATCGTGAATTCAAGGCGAACTACTTAGTTTTTCTTTGGCCAGCGAGAGCACGTTGCCAGAGCCACCTGTATTCTCGGCATACTCTTCTAACGTAAACGTATAAGTCGTGTGGGGAAGTATAGGTGTATAAGTATGCGTTGTTGTTGCTCTCTTTTCGGTTTTCCATTTAATCACTGAGCGCCAATGCTCAGCGGCTTTTATCGATGGCCAAGAGAAAAAGTCCAACTATTATTTGTATATTTACATATATGTATATATGTACATGTATATGTGTGGACTATGAATTTGTTGTTTTCTCTAACACTTTATTTTTAGCAAATCGCATTTCTATTTAAACTTTTGTATTTTATTTGATTCTGTTTTCGACATCGTTCGCTGCTTCGTTTTTTTTTTTTTTTTTTTTTTTTACGGCTTGTATGTGTTTGAGCACTTATTGTAATGCGATTCCTTGGCAGACATTCGCTCGTTGAAGGCTTGAATGAAACGTCAGTTCACTCGATAGCGGGCGGGAGGAGGATGCGTGTGTCTTGTGAGGAAGCGGAAAGTTCAGTTCAAATACCCACCCACACATATATATTTAGATCTATCTTTCTCTCTTGCTCTTGTTCTCTGAATATTTGTACAAATTTCAGTTGTTGCCGTTTCCTTTACCTTGTGCCGGGTCTATTGACATTTCTAGGTTGCTGTTTGCATAAGTTGTCGTCTTTTTGCTTACTGTTCGCCCCCATCTATTATTATTATTTTTATTATTATTACTATCTTCATTCTGCGTAAGCCTTGTTTGTTGTCTGCATTTTGAGGTGTACACAGAGAATATTTTTTTTTGTCGCATTTCTCTAATAATATTATTTTGTTTTGGGCCTAGACTGGAAACTAATGTTTCTAATAACTAAGCCCAAACAATGAGACCTTGGGGTATAATTACTTGCGAATTTTATGGCTTCAAGTGGCGTGAATAAAAATAAATTGTAGACATTCTGTCGTTCAGAGAAATTCAAAAGAATTTAAAATTATGAAGTTTTTTTTTTTTTCAATTTTTATTCACTCCATTTCGGTATTTTGATCTGTGACCCGGGGAAGATTCTAATAACTGTACAGGTGATTAACGGGAATATAATGGGAATATAACGGGAATATAATGAATGAAAATTCTAATTCAAGGTAAAGGCCGAATATTGAATCTGATTGAAAGAATAGATTGAATATTGTAATTCAAGGTGAAAGCCGGAGCAACAAGGATAAAGTACATTGAAATAACTAGAGAATGTATTCTTATTTAATAAAAATATTATATTTGTGTGTCATATGAACAGCTGTTGTATTGTGAAATGCAAACACGACAACAAAAACATGTCAAACCCAATCAGCCAATAGCATCAACTGTGTAAACGTAACGGACTATAGATATACATCCATATATCCATATATATATATATAAAGCCGATGCCTGCAGTAGGTCTAGAGACTAACGTGATGTTCATAATTAATTGATTAAATATTGAAATATCGCTCTAAAGTGATTTAACCTTCGCTTGAGATTTTATGGATTGCATACTGCATATATATGCTGTAATTATCGCATGAAGTCGGAGAGCCTGCTGGCGACTTGGACTTGGACTTGAGATTGACTTACCATAATCAGAAATGAAAAGAAAAAAGTAAAACAGAGAGAGTAAGAGAAAGGGAGAGAGAGGTGAGATAACAGTCGAGTTTGTATATATGCGAGTGGATTGTCGTATTAATTAAAATGAAATTTATGTTAAAAATAAAATGAATGGAAAAGTTAAACCAGTTGCTTGTTGGCTGTTAATAATTAAGATCACGGCTCAAACAGCGAAAGATGAGCGCCAATCAAGCGCAACAAATCCGGAGCGCAAATGACCCTAGACAAGGCCTGTCTGACGGCTGTGTGGGGTCATTAAATTGAAATTGTTCTTGAACTCAACTTTGGCCGTCGTAACGCGAATGCCTTTTGGCAAGTGAATTACTTGATGCAGCAAACATGACGGAAAATCCGAGAAACGAGTGTGAGAGTGCGAGAGAAAGAGAGAGATAGAGTAGAGAAAAGAGAGCTGAAAACTTGACCAACTTGTTAGCGCTTCTAATGAGTCAACGGCCATGTCTGCGTCGTCGTCATGGCGGAACAAGTGCCAGACGATGATAAAGATGACGACGCAGTCCAAGGCAAATAGAGCGGCAGTGCCAGCTGCAAGGAGTATTTAAAACTTTTTCTAAAGTACTTGGCATTTGCCTTGCACTTGAATTCTCTATCGCCGGCGAAAGAGAATTGCAAAATTCAGAATTACAAGTGCGGAGAGGCAAACTATATATTCGGAATTTTTACCATAATGAATAAGACCTGTGAGAGGCGTGAAAACTGAAGGGTGTAGTAAAAGTGTAGGGAATTTAAATTTCAATGAAATACGTATAAGTTTTATACTTGGCATATTTATGTCTATGGGATATAATATTATCTCGTTTGTAAATTAGATTAGAAAGTAGACATAAATAATGTCGATAGTAAAATATTTTTGATGGTAGTACCAGGATGTTATAAAATTAGCTCTACTTACAGTCATATCATCATATCATATCATATTCATATGAGTAGATAATTCCATCAATTAGTAAAATAAGACTTCATATAAAATGTCGTTTAGATATATACGTGTGTATACAACTTGCTTGATGTACAATTGGCGGTAAAATAACCCATGCAGTTTTTCTTAATAACCCAAAACAAAAGGCATGTGAGTTTTATCAGTGTAATTGTTTGAAATACCTTTTTATTAGTCATAGTTTATAAATGATTCAAAGCAATAAAGATTATTTTGATGTTTCGCGCATTTATCGGGAACTCTGATTTTATTGACATCTATGACATTACTCATGAGAGAAAACTTAATCTATTCGCAAACAAACAAACAAGCGAGCATATTGAATGTCTGTTTCAGTATGCTTATGCCGCTGTTAATCAACACTGGCTGGCTAACTGTCAGCGCCTCGGGACGCCTCCGAGCAGCTGTCAGCAATGTACAGCTTATAACTGTCTGTCACTTGATACTGCCATTTGGCGCTTGCCATTCACAGTGTAGTGTCGTCTTTTAAACCGCTTATCACTGTAAAGACTATAAAGGATCTCTGTTGGTTGATTGATGATATAAATATATTGTATATATTTTTATAAACATATTCTATGCCACGCCAAAGATTTATTGCAGTTTTTTAAGATGTTTGAGTTATGAGAGTTTTTTTTTTCAGGCAAAGATACTCTAAGCAAAAATTAACTAAAACAATTTCTTTTTTTGTTTTGTTTTATTTTTCCATTGTTTTTAGATATGTAATAACACTACAGTTCATTCATTTCGAACTTTGGACACAGTTGTAGTGAGCTTTGACTTAAAATTTAAAAAAATAGTTTATAATGAACATATAGTAAATTTTATAAAAGAACAAAATTGAATCGTTGGGGAACGAGTATTACAGGTAAAGTTTGAGTTGATTTTTAATACATTCGTATGTTAAGAGACGGTCCCGCTGCTATAGAAAGTGGAGACGTCTAAGATCATTCCTGGTGTGCCGGCTAGAGATGTAATTTTGTTTTCGTCGTTGATTTATTCTTCCTTTAATATTTTTCTCTTATATAAAGTCTATTTTTTTTAAACTGAGGTATTTCCCATTTTTTTTTTTATAGATAAGGACTTGCTTGTTTGTTATTTGATTAAGAAGACAGAAATTAGATGAATATCTTGGCTCTTTATGCAAGAATATTTTAATTTACTATTTGCAATGAGGTTATTTACTCGCGTAGTTTCAGAATTTGAATAGGCATTCGATTATTAAGTATTTTCAGCTGTGACAAACTTGAATGTCATTTACAGTCTCTCCAAGGGCTCGCGATATCAGTTTCCATGAGTCACATTCGCGAAGCCTGCGTGGCTGGACTTTGGGCATTATTGCTGCGCCTAGCCTCAGCATGCTCACAGCTGTATGTGTGTGCATGTGTGAGTGTGTGGGCTACTGTTTTGTTGGCTGGTCGTTAAATCCCATCGATTTGTTTGACTGTCTCTTCACTATGCACCTTTTTCTCCCAACGCCTCCTCGGTTTGTGTGTCGTCCCGTCCTGCTCGCGCCCATTGAGCTTTGCGCTTCAAGCATGACTGGCATCTAATTTAATTAGATGAAAATTTCACACTATTGGTTTTTCGTCATCTTCCTCTTCTTCTTCTGCTTCATCTACTGCTGCTGACGTCTCCGACGCCGATGCCGATGATTTAGTTTTGTCTGTTATGGATGTACACACATTATTTTTATATATTTGCCGCATACCACTATAGCTTTCACTACTATTAATCTTGCCAAGGTGTTTTCCAAATTCGCTTTTCCTTAGATACCACCCACTAGCTGTGCAAGTAGTCATTCAATTTCCACTTATCAACACATTGATTTCCGTTTAATGCAGTTTGCTTAAACTCTAGCGATTGCAACAGACGAACGCACTTAGACCTCGTCTCTCTTCGTATATGTACATAAATATGTGTATGCATGCATGTTTATATCTATCTCTCTCTGGCCACATAGCATCATCATCTGTTCCTTATGTTTTGATTAAACATCAACATCTTATGGCCTTTAGCATGTTGTTTCTGCTGCTATTTCCCCATGCACCCACACAAATTATCAGACGTTTCAAAAGAGCGAGCAAGAGTGGGAGGAGAGAGGATTGAGTATGCTAGAGTGAGAAAAAGAGAGAGACAGCGACATTGACAGCCGCTAACAGCTTAATGACGTCATTGGCGCATAATGTTTGATGGGTCACTTGGTTCGTTTCGTTTCTCTCGTTCCATCATGCCAACGTTCGCCTTTCCATCGTTCCGCTGTCCGTCTGCGAGTCGTGTGTTTTCTTTTTATTTCTTTTTTACATTCACATTTTTTTTTTTTGCTAAATCCGCAATTTGTCCTTGTTTTTATGTGCCACAGCTGCTACTCACTTTGTTGGTCTGCCAGCCTACTTGCTTCGCTTTCGGCCCGCTTACCCCCGCGCCTTCTTTTGTTGAGTTTTCATCAGCATTTCAGCCTGATTATTGAAGCCACTTTCCGGCTGCCGCACGCAACTTTTGCCTTGTGCTGCGGTCTGTGTGGGACAGGTGGCAACTCTGTTATTGCCCGGCCTACACCACGTTACACTTACAGTTACTATTCTACTCTACTTGTTGTAGTTGCTGCTGGGATAGCGCAAAATTTAGGTTATTCCAACCCCACAATGCTATGAAAAAATACAAAAAATCATAAAAGTCGTACGAAAAGTTGTAGTTTATTATGTATGTTGTGTGTGTGCTGGTTGTTGCCTGCTAGTTGGCAACAATGCGATACTGTCGCCGACACCGACCTGGATATTTGAATACCCTGAACAACCGCAGGGTATACTAGACTGTGTAGGCAATATGACATCTCTCACAATCAACAGAGTATGGAAATCAATTTAAAAATTCCATAAATACCCTAAATTCTATTGCACATTAGTCCAGGCGAACAGGGTATACGAATCAAATGCCTATAAAGCTTAGTATATGTAATAATAATGATTTTTTATTTCACATGCATTATTGTGTTTTTGCTGCTATTAAAAATAATTATATAACGTATGCGTATTTATGAACGTTTTACGCGACCCGCTTCAAATGTCGTTGAACTGCAAGGCAAAATGTTGAAAAAATTCAACAACAAAATTCAAATTGTATCCATGTCATCAATGGGTTAAATAAAATACCATATGCCTCTGTTGCGGCTAGTCGCTGTTAAAAGTAACAGCGAACAGCTGGTCACATATCACAGTTAGGTATACATATTCATATATACATATACATATGTGTGTGCCTGTATATTTGTGTGCGCGTGTCTGTGCGAGGCCAAGGCACCTGCGCATGAGTCACTCAACTTCAGTTTAAATCTGCGAGCTCTCTGGTCACATTCAATTGCTTGGCAGATCTCTGCTGCCGGCTTTGCTGTATTATTTTATGTGTGTGCATTGTATTTTTGTACATGCTCATGCATGTGTTTGACAGGTGCTTCTTGTATGTGTAACAAGTTTGTGATGTAGTTTTTGCTCTGACACATGGGCACTCATACACACACACACACAGACATAATTATACATTTATATATGTATATACACACAAATAAGCACACGAGAACAACTATTTATCATTATCAATACTTCTGTCGTTTCGTTCTCTCGCACATTGACTGCGTTCAAGTGTTGTGAGTAGTTCTCCCCTACGACGCGTCGACAGTAACGCGACAAGAGCAGCAACAGCAACAGCAGCAGCAGCAGCAGCAGCAGCAACAATAATTACATACTAATACAAAATGCTCATTTGCCGCATTTTAATTTTCACACGCTCACAAGCACAAGTGTTTCGTATCTGTGGCTGCGCCAGCGCCACTGCCAGCAGCAGCAGCTGAACCTAGGTCTCTTCGTCTCTCTCTATCTCTCTGTCTTTTTGCGGCCTCTCGCTCGCTCACTCTCCCAAATGCTACTCGCTCGTTTGGTTTTCAGTTGTTCGCAGTTCGTACTCTCAGTTCGTTTTCGATCGTGCGCCGTAGCAGTTGTCATTCCTTTGCGGCCATTATCGGTGCTGTTAGCGTAAAAAAAGAACAAAAAAAAAACAAAAGCAAGTTGTTTTTGCAACGCTCGGTCGCGCGGGTGTGCATACAAACAGCAACAACAACAAAGCAGCAGCACTAGCAACTCTAACAGAAGCATACGCATGGAGGAAATTCTGTATGCCGTTGCATGCGTGGCTAAGTGAGTGTACGTGTGGGTGTTTACACATACATGCACGTGCATACAATTGAAATGTGTGTGTGTGTGCGTGTATGTGTTAATCACTTTATCGTTGTGATGTTTTTGTTAATTTGTGTTTGCTCCAGTTTGCTGTCTGTCACATTTTCCAAAGTTTTTGTTTATGCACACAGTAAAAGAATATATATCGCCTGATAACTGTGTTGAGTTTGTTTTGTGTTTGAAGTTTGCACTCAATAGTATGCACCTGAACAGCACTGTGACTCTCAAACTGTAAAAACTTATTATCTTGCCTGTCGTTTCTGTCTTGTTGCTGCCAACTCTGCTATTGAGTCGCTCTCCCACTCACACACACGATGGAGAGACTCTGTGTGCGTGGTAGTGTGTATATCTATTTTCTGATTTGAGTCAGCTGTCTTTTTGCCCCTGTGCTTTATATCTTCTGCACAACTTTAACGAGTTTTAAGAGTGTTATTCTTAGCTTGCCATCTCGCTCACTCGCTCACTAGCTCAAGCAGCGCAGCGCACTTCTTGCACATTTGTTTATTGTTGATGCTGCTTCTGGCGTTGTTATTGCTGTTGTTGTTTCTCTTTCGGCGCGGTGTGTACACCGGCAACACGAAACTGGTTTTTCGAGTTATTTATGACTTTTTCTACAATTTATATTTTGCCTGTGCTATGCCTGGTTTTTCGGTTTCTGTATCTCTTCTTTGTGCCCACATGTACAAGATATACGTATATAAACACATATAAGTGGTCATCAGACATTTGACCTGCAAAAACAGTTAAGAGACACAGCAGTTGGGGGCGCCTCCGCTTCATTAATTTCATAATGTGGCGAAAGTTGCATCTCGAATTGCAACATCTGATATGAGAGCGGGGTTGCAGGCTCACTCTGTTTCACTTACAAACACACACGCAGGCATGCAAAGGCAAAGCGCAGCGGATATGACAAATTACAAAAAAGACAAAAAAAAAGAAAAAGCAACAACACAATTTTACATATTTCACTCAAACTCCCTGCACTCGGCAACGACAACTTAACACACTCTGTGTTGCTGACTGTAGTTGAGCTTTAATTGTCGAGCGACCGACAGGCAGACAGACAGAGATAGAGAGAGACAGCGGCAAACACAAAAACAAAAGCAAAGGCAACAAAAATTAGTGGAGACTACTGCTGCCATTGTTGTTGTAGACTTTAGTGGATATTGTGTAAAATAGAAAGCGCGTTGGCGTTAAATAATCGACGGAAGCAAACAAAAAATAATAATAATAATAAAATAATACAATTAATGAATACAATGAATAAAGAAAAAAATGTTTGGCGAAAAGTGAAGTGTTTTCTGTGCGAAAAATGAAGATATTTTTTATTATTAATAAAGAATGAAATCTAAAAAGAAAGAAAGAAAGCAATAAGTAATTATATTTTTGAATTGATAGAAAATGCCAAAAAATAATGAAGTGCAGATGCAGTCAGCATATTGAATGATAAAACAAAAAGTTGCAATAACAATTAAGCAATTAACAAAACAAGTTTCAATTAAAAAAAAACAACAAAAAACACAAGAAAGTACAATATCTGCAGCGTGCAGCAACAAACGCTGCCAATCAACGAGCTCGCGAGTGAACGGCCGCAGCAGCAGCAGAAGCAGAGGAGCCAAAGAAACAGCTGTGCTTACAGTTTGACAATCAACATTAGCTCTGTGCTGCTCCCCCGCATCGTTGTTGGCGTGAACACATGAGACCACAGCGGCGTTCACTGAGCGCGTGAAAGAGAGCGAAGCAGAATTAAAAGCGCCGTTAAACGGAGTTTGCCGGGTTAGTGTAACTTGTCTACACACATGCATACATATGTAGGTATGTGTGCATACATATGTTGTTGAACATGCATGCTTGCATGTGTATGTATGTAAATGAATGCGTTCGCATTTCAAACTGTAAATTTGAAGCTCGTAGTGTTACCAGACTCACAACATTTTTTCTGCCATCAGCAAAAGATAAAAATAAAAAAATTTGACCTCCAAGCTGCAAGATGAGACACGCACACATTCGCCTGTGAATGCATATGGCTGTATGTGTGTGCGTGTGTGTGTGTATTTACTTCCACACTCGAAAAAGTATTGTGGCCGCCAATGCACGTGAGGCTTTTCAATGCCGTCAGTTAAGGGGGACGGGCAGCGGTATTGGCGTCCTTACTCAAGCGGAAGGAAGGAATCGCAAAAGTAGAACGAGAACCTTTATCGGAGGCAGTGGGGGACAGGGATGATGGCATATTGCAATGCTAACGAGCGAGAAGGTTGTCTATGCAGGAAGAAGACACTAGAGAACAAATTACAGACAATTTATATATGTATGTATATGCATGCATATGTATGTGTAGCTGTACATACGTACATATGTATGTATGAGTGTATGTAGAAATGTGTGTATAATTGGCTTGGTCGGCGTTTTCGCTATTCTGCTGATAAAGTTTGACCTCTAAAGCTCATTTACATAGATTTTAGCTCTTGCACGTGTGCGAATTGCGAACTAAACTAATTAAGTAGCTAGCTGCCTGGCCCCCTAAACATCACACACACATACATAGAAGTGCTTACACACACACACACACACTTACACATAGATCCATGCAAAGTAAGTGCATAGAGAGATGCATAGTCAATGTTAATCTAACATGCAAAGGTCAATCGGCCATTGAGACACCGTTCACACATGCCAGCACACTCACACACACACAAATACACAGCTGTAGTCGTCATTGGGGCGGCTGCAGCTATTTCTGCTGTTGCCTCTCACTCGTTGCTATTTCTTTTTACCGGCACTTTTTTTTTTTTTTTTTGAGCGTTCTCCACATGTTCTCCGTCATTTTGACTCTCGCTATTGTTTGTCTGTCAGCGATGTCGCGGCCCCTAATCAACGCGCCCTTATCTAGCCAATTTGTTTTTTTTTTTCGGGCTGTGTGTGAGTGTGTATGTGTGTACTGCATCTTCGTCAATGGTTGAGTGCATGTGTGTGTGGGCATGAGAGATTGTCTTTCAGTGTGTGTGGGTTCTTTGCTTATCATTTTGCTCAGCTTGTTGTCTTTGAACATGTTGCGAAGCGGCTAGGAGTGGGGGGCGCAACCGGCTGCTCATTTATGTTATGTGAATCAAAACGTTGTCATTATAGTTGTTGTTGTTGCATTTACTGTTGTTGTTGTTTAGGCGTTCGCTATTGCTACGCTTTTTATTTACTGCTGTGCTTTATTCAGTTCGTTTCTCGCATTATTTTATTTTTATTCTTTATTCAACGTCAAATGCCATTGAAAATGGATATTGACATGTGTGCCGCAATTCGATTACAAACAGCGGCAACAACAACAAGTGGAAGAAAAGACAATAATATGCATAAGCAATAAAACCAATAACAATGCGCATTGTTGGCAGTTTGTCAATAGAATCGAATTATGAACATTCTATTCTATTCATTTCGAAAAAAAAAGTTTATTTCTAATTTTAAATACAAATACGAATGAGATTTGCATTTCAAATGCTTGAGGAGTGTTCACTGTAAGCTTTTCTGCTGGCCATTTGATATTCATTGGAGATTTGAGTTCCATTCAAAACAAAATAGAAAAGAAATGAACCAACAAACTTTGCAATTGATGGCCTTTCTATTTGTGTGCAGCAGCGCCAGATAAAAAGCGGCCCCAAACCGGAAGGATATAAATAATTGGCAAAAGTTCAATTCACTGCTTCCGGTTCGTCGTTGATAATGAACCCTTCAATATGTGATTTATCAATGAAATACACATACACTCTCAATATAATTGTAATTGACATATCTAAGCTAAGCAATTTATCAAAGTAGATTTTTGATATTGTTATCACATATAGAAGTAGCAGCAGGCATTAGGCTTGGGAGATTCCAATAATGTTCTTGCATTTTGTTTTTGCCATGATTTATATTCAATTGCTGTCGGACAATTAAAATGAAATTGACTTGTGTCTAAAAATAGCAACAACGCAATTGCTATGCACAAGCAAAAATAAGTAAATAAAACAAAAAAGTAACTAAATAAAATGAATAGAAGACGCAAACACGTCACAGTTCGA